GGAGAGGAGACACCTCCATAGAGAGTTCTAAACTAGGCTGGCTATGGGCAGTGCCCAGTTTAAGTCCTAGCATCCTACTGGGTGATAGTATTCAAGCAAAGTCAATTTGCTCAGTGTAGTTCTTATTGAGCTTAAGTTCCCTGCTGTGTGAGAGTGAACGTTAGGTCAGAGCCTTTGGTAGCTGGCTGGAAAGTGGTTTTACTTTGAGGGTGGCTATTGGTTAGATGATCTGAGGGGTTCACTGGGTTTGTTTAGAAAGGAAGCTGTGGGTATGCCATAAGACTTGACTCTTGAGGCTTCTGCTGTACACACTTTGCTGTCACTGTGGCCCACCAGCATGCCACTGTGCTGCCTGGGCAAGTGGGCTCTGGACCCATCCTCCCTCCTTTCCCTTTTCCTTCTCACCAGTTCCAGAAGCGAAGGTGCCTACCAGTCTCAGGAGTGCTGGTCTACAGGTCAAAGTGCTGAGGCACTGGGCAAGGGTAGTTGTTTTTCCTGACTGATAATATTATCTGGGGATTAAACACAGAGCAGCATCAATGTGGTTTTCCAACAGATTCTTTTCTTTTTTTCCTTTAATCATGTGCATTGAGCTATGGACTTTTTAGTCTGAAGTCCATTAGCTCCCTGGGAGCACTAGAATAACATGTAATAACATAATGGAATGACCTTTTTGGCGAGCTCTCAAGGTGGGCTGTGCAAGGGCAGTGGGTCCTTAGGCATTATACACAGCTCTGGGAGGGCAGAATGAGGGTGAAATAATTCCTCAACTCTTCCTCCTGGATAGTTTTACCCTAGGGAGAAGGAAACTTTGAATGCCAATGGCAGATTATATTTAGAAACACTAGAATATGGCCACATTTCTATCTTCTATTCTGCTGAGATGGAAATTTGTATTATATTTTATGGTAACTGATACTGTTGAAGTGCTTTATGATTTATAAAGCATGTTCAGTAAGTTACCCCATTTCATCCTCACAGCAGTCCCACTAGGGATGTATCATTATCTCCATGTCAGATGCAAGGCACTAAGCTGTAGAAGTTTGAGTGATGTTGGCTAGGCACCTTAGGTATTAAGTAGTAGAGCTCAGAGGCAGCTCAAGACTTTTGGCTGCAAAGAGGCAGTGGATTGGCAGGGCATCAGGTTAAGTAGAGAGACTAGGTTCAGATTCTGGTCCTGTTACTCATTAACTATGTAACTTTGGTCAGATTATTTAACTGATCAGTATAATCAAGCATATCAGATAATCTACAATTGTCTCATTCATCCATAACCTTTTGTCTTTGCTCCATTATGGGCTCATTGCTTTATAGACTACAGGATATTTGTCCTGGACTCCTCTTCACTGTCAACATGGTAATTTTCCTTGCCTCTGTCTGTGGGATCCTTTGTTTCCTAGGTTCCATGTTTTTTCTCATTTTTTATTCACTTGTTGTTTTGGTAGAGCATGAGTTCCAGTACCTTCCTGAGAAAGGGTGTATTGGTGGTAAGTTTTTCACATCTCAGCTCTTAAGTGTAAGTAAGTCTGTACTCACTATTGACAGATAGTTTGGCTGGGTATAAAATTCCAGTTGGAGATCATGTTGCATGAGAGTCATGAAGGCAAGGCTTCATTATTCTGTGGTGTGCTAATAAGCACTCTTATGCCAATTCTGACTCCTGATCTTTTGTATATGGTGGGATTTTTTTTTTCTTTGAAATTTTCAGAATCTCCTCTTTGTCAGCAGTTTTCTGAAAGTTTTCAGTGATGTACTTTGGTGAGACTTTGATTTTTTTGTTTCGTTTTGTTTTTTTTTTAACTCGTGCAGGGCTCTCTTGACTGGAAACTTATATTCTTCAATTCTGGGATATTTTCTTGAATGATTTTTTTTTTTTTAATAATTTCTTTTCCTCTGTTTACTTCTTTTCCTGGAGTTACAGTTAAACCTTGGTTTGTGAACATAATTTGTTCCAGAAACATGCTTGTAATCCAGAGCACTTGCATATTAAAGCAAATTTCCCTGTAAGAAATAATGGAGGGGCACCTGGGTGGCTCAATTGGTTAAGTCTCGGACTTCAGCTCAGGTCATGATCTCACAGTTGGTGGGTTTGAGCCCTGCATCAGGCTCTGTGCTTACAGCTCAGAGCCTGGCACCTGCTTCGGATTTTGTGTCTCCCTCTCTCTCTCTGCCCCTCCCCCACTCAAGCTCTGTCTCTCTGTGTCTCTCAAAAATAAATAAACATTAAAAATTAAAAAAAAAAAGAGGGGCTTCTAGGTGGCTCAGTCAGTTAAGCATCCGACTTCAGCTCAGGTCATGATCTTATGGCTTGTGGGTTCAGGCCCCGTGTTGGGCTCTGTGCTGACAGCTCAGAACCTGGAGCCTGCTTCAGATTCTGTGTCTCCCTCTCTCTCTGCCCCTCCCCCTTGTGCTTTCTCTCTCTCTCTCTCTCTCTCTCTCTCTCTCTCTCTCTCAAAAATAAATAAACATTAATTTTTTTTAATGTTTATTTTTAAGAGAGACAGAGACAGAATGCGAGTGGGTTAGGGGCAGAGAGAGAGAGAGAGACACAGAATCTGAAGCAGGCTCCAGGCTCTGAGCTGTCAGCACAGAGCCTGATGTGGAGCTCAAACTCGCTAGCTGTGAGATCATGACCTGAGCTGAAGTCGGACGCTCAACTGACTGAGCTACCCAGGCGCACACCCCCAAAAAAATTTTTTTTAATTAAAAAAAAGAGATAATGGAAACTCACATGATTCATTCCGCAACCCAAAAATATTCATATAAAAATTATTATGATACTGTAATATAATACAAAATAATAAAGAAAATAAAAAATATAAAGAAAAATAAACAACCTGCAGTTAAACTTTTAAAGCCTTCGTTACTGGTGTGAGGGAGATGAAAGAAGAGGGTTATTGTGTAGGATGACTTTCACTATCACTAATGGAATCACTGCTATCTGTTGGCTCCATGGAATCTTTTTTTGCATGGGGGCCATTGTATACAACATAGATGTTGGCTATAGTGCAGTATTAATAAACTCTTGTCATATACTATATTTAATGTAACTGGCAGTAAGGCAACAGAGGAAAGGGATCTATATCTGTAGGCAGCCTGACCCAGAATGAAGCAAAGTATTCATTAGCTTACTTGTATGGAAAAGCAAAAGACTGTCCATAGGTGCTTTGAAGTGACAAAAAATGCACTAGTGCCAGTTGTGGGTACCTTCCAGTGTTCTGAAAAATCACTGATTTCTGTCAAATGCCACAGCCTGAGGCCGAGCATCTGAGTGTGGGAGCTGGTCACCCATAATCCTAAAGCGAGAGAGAGAGAGAGAGAGAGAGAGAGAGAGAGAGAGAGAAACCATTGGCTCAGTTGTGATCATGTGATGTTTGGCATCATGTACTACTCATATTGCAAGACATTGCTCATTTATCAAGTTAAAATTTATTAGAAATATTTGCTAGCCTTGCAGAGCACTTGCAGAACAAGTACTCACAATCCAAGGTTTTACTGTAGTTTAATTTGGTACTTGCATTTAATGGATCCATCTTATTTTTCTTATCTTTTCTTCTATTTTTTATCTTTTATTTTTGTGTTTTATTTTCTAGGAGGTTTTTTTTTTAATTCTACTTTCAACTCTTTTGAAATTTTTTATTTCTGTGAGAGTTTTTTGTAAGAGTTTTTCCTGATTCTCTTTGACTATTCCTGTCTCATAGCATTCAATTCTTGTTTTATGGATGCAGTATTTTGTTTCTCTGAGAATAATAATTATAGTTTTGCTGTTTTCTTCTGTTGTTTTTCTTTTCTTCTAAGTATCATTTTTCTTTTAGTTTGTTTTCATCCCTGTCTTTTGTGTTAAGGGCTTTCCTCAAATATCTGGTGAACTTGAGTTATCTGTATTGAATAGCAAGGCACTGGCATGGGCGTTGGAGACTCTGAGTGTGAGGAGGAGGTGAAGGGCATTTGTTTACTGAGAGGGCCTCACAGTGGGTATCTCAGTGGGAAGTTAGTTGTTTCATTGGAGGATCTCCAAATCACCATCTTTAGGTTATTTTTCTTGTGCTTCTCAGTTTCCTTAGAGAAACATTCTCTAATGTCCTGCCTAGGGGAATAAGACTGACAACATTCTGGAAAAGGGAAGGGAGATGTGGGGGGAGTTGGGGCTTGAGGATCAGTGATCTCAATGTTCCGTGTATAGGCTTTCCCTTAAATCCCCTCGTTTTCTCTCAGGGCCATACTTCTACTCCCTGCCTGGTATCTCCCAGGAGAGCTTTTCTTAGTCTCTCCATATAGTAGTCCCGTGTTTTCTGACAGCTAGGCAAGGAGCCAGCTATGTAGGCTGGGTGAGGGGATCTGCTGTATGACTGTTACTTATTTGGACTTTTAACACACCTCCTCCCCCAGCCTCTGCTTCTGGCCACCCCTCCTTGTGCCTGCAGAGGTGCCTGGTGCCTCCACTGCTCAGAGTTCTCAGGGTTCTCTGGGAAGAATTGGCTCATTTCTTGTTGGCTGGCCTCCTGAGATCATTGGCTGAGTGGGAAAAGCTGAAAACCTTCCATTCCCATCCTGAATATGAGAAGTGATGTTACTTCTCTGTGGATTTGTGCATCCGTGCTTCTAGGTGGGTGGCATTTTCACGTTGCTCTGGTGTGTGGTGTTGGAGTGCCGTGCGGAGTACAGATGTCCACCTCCCAGACAGGTCTTGATTGAGTGGGTGGCAAGTGTGTCCTTGCAGCATTCTTGTGTAGTATGCAGCCCCTACAGCTTGACAAATGTGCCTGAAGACGAGGGGGGAGTTGGAGACTGGGAATGGTCTGGGAAGTGTCTTGGGGGAGAGGTGTTGGTAATTTGGAAAAGGGATGATGTGGAAAGGTTGATGTAGTCCTGAGAAGGGTCGGTGTGCCCTTATCCTTCTGAAGTAAAATGTGTTCTAGGCAGCACTTCTGCGGGCACCCATTCTTCCTTGGGCTTGTCAGGAAGCTGGGGCTCATGGTCCTTGGCTCCTTGATCCCCAGGTCGTCCTGCCGACGTGGCTGTCCTGCACAAAGGTCTCCTCACTCATCGAGAGAATTTCTGACCCCAAGGACTTGAAAAAACTTCTCAGGACCCGGAATAATGTGCTGGTGCTTTACTCCAAATCTGGTGAGTGCCCAACCTGGCCTTGGGGGTCATCCATCAGCGATGGGATGGTTTGGGTTCGGGGCACCAGTGGGAGGCAGAGACCTCAGGACCAGGAGCCACTCAGGGAGGGTCCAAGGGTCATCGGGCTTGTCCACTTTCCCCAAGAGATGAGGCAGAAGCACAGAGGGGTGTTAGTTCTGTTTCTTTTGCATCCTGAGAGGTTGTTTCAGTTCCATATAATCAGTCTTTCTTGGGAAGAGCCTCTGGAGTCCTCACTACCTCAGGAGGGAGAGGATGTGTGTGAAGGGAGACGGAGGACGGTGGTCAGTGGGGTGGATGTTGTGGCTTCCTGGACAGGCACGGACTGGCCATCGCAGGACATGCTTTGCCAGAGCTGTTGATTAGCTGGCTGGGTCGGCCTGTCATCAGCTGAATTGGTCCCAGGCTTGGGAGCACGCACCCAGGTTCGCAGCCCTGGCCCTGCCTGGCCCCCATCTGTCCTGCTTTGGGGTCAGAACATGAGACTGAGTTTGCAGTGGGCTCCAACAGAGCAGTTTCAGTGGAGGGTGGGACTGTGGCTTGCTTGCCTCTTCTGACCTTGAGGCTGGCAAGGGCATAGTGGATGGAGAGAGGTTTGCTCAGCTCTTGGCTGCGACTTTGAACATCTGACTGTTGGTGTTGTTCCAGCAGAGTTAAGTGTTTTCACTGCTCCTAAGGATGCCAAGTTTTCTGTGCCCTGGAGAAGCAACAGCCAGTGGCTGGGCCAGTTCCTGGGCACAGTTCTCCCTGGCAGCTCATCCTTGACACTCATTGGCACTAGGGGCTGATGGATGTTTTGGACGTGTGTCTCTCCTGAACCCTGCATCCTCTAAGCACCCTGGCACATGCTACTTCTTGCCCTTTTGAGGGCCTGGCACACACTTCCTGAGGTTGTTGTTGGGAGCCCAGAATGTGTCTAGCATCTCTGTTGTCAGGAGTAGGGGGGAAATTGAGGCAAGGGAGGAGCAGAATTGCTCCTGAGGCCTGGAGCATAGGGCCCTGAGTAAGCATGGCTCATTCCCTTGGATGCTCTTGGAGCTGGGCAGTTGCCAGTGCTGGACCATGCTCAGTTCCTTCTCTGGGTAGGTCCCGTCACATAAGCTCATCATCTGACAAGGACTGCAAGGACCTTCTGCGACATGCTCCTGTTTGCTCCTTTGCCTCCTTGAGGGAGGCGGTGCAGGTTGTCAGATAATGTCCAGTGTACAAGTGAGGAAATTGAAGCAGAGGGAGAATAGCCAACTCATCTGAGGTCTAGCAGCCGGTAGATGGTGGAGCTGTTCTCTGTGCTTCCTCTGCTGGAGGGTCGGAAGAAATAATATTAATCCTGCTGGGACGGAAGGGCTCTGAGATCACTAAATGGTTATGGTAAGTTAGAGAGTAGGAATGTGGGGTCTCTTGATAGGGGCTTGTGGGGCAGGGGGCAGGGGGCAGGGCGAGGACCGCACTTCTTTTCTCTTCTGCCCTCAGCCAACCCTTGTTGGCACTGGGACTTCCGGTGCTTCCTGCTTACTAGACCCCTCTCTGCCTCCTACTGCTGGGGTAGCAGGACCCAGGTGACTACCTTCCTGTCTCCTTGCCCAGGCCTGCTGCAACACATGTGACCCTCAGTGGGTTTTTGGAGCAGCGCAATAACTGGATTTTCTCCCCTTCCACCCTCTCAAGCAGTGTGTACCTTTCCTGTGCCTCACCAAGCCCAGGCTGAGCCCAGAGGAGTGGTGGGGCCATGGCCTTTCCCCTCTGCCACGCTCCCTCCTCCACCTGTCCTTGTGGGGGTTCTTGGGAGTGCCTCCCTCGGGTGGCTCCCTGTGCGTCTCTAGAAAGATGCTTTTTGTTCACTTGCATGAAAGGCTCAGCATGCTTTGTATTCACAAACAGCTACCATTATCCACACTAGAAAAGGGGATCTGTGGAGGTGAATAATTCAGACATCAGTTTTGCTTGGCTTTGGAATGTATCTTAGGGTTTTTGGTGAGGGAGGCAGCAGACCTGCTCTTGCTACCAGTGTCTGTGTGGCGGGCCCTTCAAGTGAGCTCACAGATGTGATGGGGGAAGGGGACACACTGGCCACAGCCACTCTGCAGCAGACCCTTGCAAGTTGTCAATGTTGAAATCCTGGCCACAGAGGCTTCATCCCCAAGTACCTGCCCTCCTATAGTAGTTCCCAGTGCTTTGCCCAGGTACCTGGACAAATGAAAAACTTCCTTTCTTGTGTTCACCCTACCTTGCCTCAAGGTGTAGTCCGTGTTTTTATAGCTAACCCCTGAGGTACTGCCAGGGCTGGCCCTTCTGTCGCTTCTGGGGAAATGGGCTGTGAAATGTGACTTGGGTACACTTGACATTGGTCCATCTGGGACCAGTGTCCCATATAATCCTCATTTAGCCACCAGGTTGCTGAGCCCCTGCCAAGATGAAGATGTGATGCACAAGTAAAGGAAGTATCTGGTCCCTGCTCTTGTCAGCTCGCAGTTTGAGCTCCAGGGCAGATGAGTGTGGAATTGGCAACCTTGTTCCCTATATTAGTTATAGAACTGTAATTGTTTGGTTATAGAATTTTCACAGTTTGTCCCAGAAAAGTAATGAGTCAGAGTGGAGGATCTGACTGCGAGATCCTTGGAACAGTGAGGCATGAGATGTAGCGTAACAGAGGTGTGAGTTGGGGTCTCGGTGTCTGTGGGGAGGAGTCCAGAGCCTGGCAGGAGCAGGGGTTTCTGAGAAGAGTTCTCCCCGAACTACTGATTACAGGGTCAGTGTATTAGTGGCGCTCAGGATCTCACCTCAAGGATGGCTCCCCATTCTTCCTTGCCCCTAAAGGAAGATGGCAGGGGTGACCCTCGTGGACTTGGGCACAGATGTTTAATTTTTTATTTTTTTACAGAGGCTGCAGCGGAAAGTCATCTCAGGTTGTTGTCCACTGTGGCCCAGGCAGTGAAAGGACAAGGCACCATCTGCTGGGTAGACTGTGGGTATGTCCTGGGGACATGGGGCGTGGTGGCTGGAGGACGGGGCGTCCTTGGGGGATCTGGAGGGTGGGGTAGGGAGTTGTCCCTGATTAACTCTTTGGGAGTGAGGCTGTGATAGGAGAGATTGCTGCAGAAAAGCTTCCCTAACCCTACTTGAGGGTCACCTGTGGACTGGAGAAGGGGCAGTTCTGGCTCTCCCACTTGTTCTTTCCAGCCCCAGCATTCTTCCTCCCTTTTTACTCTGTTGTCCTGTGTGACTTGACTTTTTTCTTCCCAGCAGGTGAGAGAGGGGGCCTTGATGGCCAGAGAGACAAGGTTCTTTTCAGAGGCACCCAGTGGGCTTGCTCATGAGGGGGGTCTGCAGCAAGAATCATGGGCTTCATCTCCAGCCCAGGGCATTAATAGAGGTCTCCACTGCCCTCCGTGCAAAGGTGGTGGAATCAGCCACCTTGCCTTCCGAGGTGGCTCCATTAGATGTGTCAGTGGCTTTGTCCTTCTAGCGCTCTCTTCTGACCTTTGTCTCCCTGCCTGCCACTGCCTGTCCTAGTGCTGGTGCTCCCAGCTCCTTCTCCTCCTCTTTCTCCTCCTTCCTGACCTCCCTCCTCCCAGAGACTTTCTTGTCTGTGTTAAGGCGGCAGGATCAAACACCAGCCCACAGGAGGGAGTCTGTAGGAAGGGGGGCTACTTCTTAGTGTGGGGAAGGGGGCTCTTGATGGAATTCCTCTGATTCTTCCTAGTGTGGGAGTTTGAGTCCAGGGTGTACTCAGCTTCCCTTTCTTTTCAATCATTAGGAATAATTTCCACATCTCTCTGTGGTCAGTGCATTGTGCATGCAGTGCACACACACCCACACCCCCTCTTGTTATATAATTAGCTCCCAATTTGCCCTAGATTGGCGCAAATGCATAAAAGGCACTTAGATAGTGAAGGAACTTAGGAAGAGGTAACTAAGAGCAGGTTTGTCCTTTGCATGTTTGAACACCTATTGTGTGCAAAGGTCTATGTTGCACTTGACCTGGATACCAGCGTTATACGCCCTTGTGACTTCGGACAGGAAGAGTTTCCGGAGTCACTGTGTCCAGCCACTTTTCACCTGGACTTAGGGTTTATCGGGAGTATGAGCCTGGGAAGAGGAGGGGAAAGGAGAATATTGCACTCTTGGAAGTACGGGAAAGAGGTGGGTCTCTGCTGGGAAAAGGGCTTTTTAACCTTCACTTTTATTGTGGCTGTTCTTGCCTGAGCTACAGCCTGGCTACCACATTTAACCCTGTGGGTTAAATGAGCTTTAGGGCTGTACTGCAGTATAGCCTTCTTCCTCTTCAATCTGAGTTCTAAATTTCTGGTTTTTTAGGGGCGCTCGGGTGGCTCAGTCCGTTGAGCATCTGATGTCATTTCAGGTCATGATCTCGTGGTTCGTGAGTTCAAGCCCTGTGTTGGGCTCTGTGCTGACAGCTCAGAGCCTGGAGCCTGCTTTGGATTTTGTGTCTGCTCCTCTCTCTCTGCCCCTCCCCTGCTCATGCTCTGTCTCTATCTCTCAAAAATAAATAAACATTAAAAAAATTTTTTTTTAAATAAAAGTAAATTTCTGGGTTTTTTAAAATTGGTTTTTTAAAGTTTATTTTTATTTAGAGAGAGAGAGAGTGTGAGAGAGAATCTCAAGCAGACCCTGTGCTGTCAGCACAGAGCCCCATGTGGGGCTTGATCTCACAAACTATGAGCCAAAACCAAGAGTTGGACACTGCCTGAGCCCACCAGGTGCCCCTAAACAGCTGTTTTGTGAATGAACTTCTGGCACACAACTGATTTATAAGTTGATGGCCTCAAGTTTGTCTTGCCCATGATTGAGGAGAATTGAAGGAGATTTATATTTTGACAAAGCACTGAATGAGACCAGGAGAAGGAGTCTTAGCTGAGTGGTGTTTGCTGTAGGGGTGTATGTGCGTGGGTTCATGCTCCTGTCTGGCCTCACACCTCCTGATTTATTCAGACATCAATTTACTGGAAGAGACTGCTCCCCAGACATTTGATAAGATCTTGGCCATTGGTTAATTCTAGTGCATAGTTGGTCTAAAAGTGTTCTTGTCTTGTAGGTATGTCTCAGTCTCCCACATTTTACCAAGGGTGTGCTACGTGACTGGTACATAGCCTTTGTCAGTATTAGAGGGGACAGGACACTTTGGAATCTCCATATCTGAGGGTGACACCGGTTCTGCCACGCCAGCCGATGGAGCCTTATCACAGGAAGTTCTTAGGCTTGCAGGTGGCAGAAATGGGCAGAAGAGCTTTGATTTAGTTGCTGCATTCCCCTGCAACATTCCCAAGCATTTACTATGTGCCTTGAGGTACACAGATGGACAGTAGTGTCCTCAGGAGCTCAGTGTGCAAGGAGGAAGCAGACATCGAACCAGGTGATTATAATCCATGTGAGAAGTGTAGTGAGTGGAGGCTATGTATGGGAGGGGTTTCACTTTATTCTGCCTGTAAAATTCTGCCTGAGAAAGCTTCACAGAGTAGGTGGAGTTCCAGTGCGATGCAAAGACCTTTGAGTACCAGGTCTTTTTTTTTTAATTTTTTTTTTTTCAACGTTTATTTATTTTTGGGACAGAGAGAGACAGAGCATGAAGGGGGGAGGGGCAGAGAGAGAGGGAGTCACAGAATCGGAAGCAGGCTCCAGGCTCTGAGCCATCAGCCCAGAGCCTGACGCGGGGCTCGAACTCACGGACCGCGAGATCGTGACCTGGCTGAAGTCGGACGCTTAACCGACTGCGCCACCCAGGCGCCCCGAGTACCAGGTCTTTAAAGTGCCCTGGCTTTCCCTGCAGGCAGCTCCCTGTGGTATGGGCCCCGAGGACTGCCTGGGCCATCTGCCGATGGGTGTAGATGTGGCAGTCCTGCTCTGCTCCATGCAGAGGCAGGACTAAATGGGGCCAGGGTTAATGTGTGAAGACAGATAAAGAACATTAGAATTCAGGACTCGTTTGGAGACATGATGTCTGGAGTCAATAAAAGTGCCAATGGGAGAAATAATCCTATGACTTTTGATGTGCTAAAATGGAAATCTAGGGAGGCATCTTAGAGCCTAAAGAGGTAACCTTAAGACAAAAGGATAGATTGTTCTGTGTAGTTGCCACTCAATTCATTCCTCTAAGAAGTATAAACTGAAATGTTAAATAGCTTTTAAAATAGTTTAGATAAGTAGATGGATTATGGAGCTCTAATGGATTGTGTTAGAAGAGGGGGGTATCTGGGTCCAAATTGGAAATCATAGGTAGGGTGTACTGAAATCTTCCCAGGGCAGCCCAAGGGACAAAACTTGGGGCTCTAGTCCACAGAGGCCACGGGTGGGGGGGGTGGGTGGCAGTTCTCATGGATCACCATTACATAAGGAGTTCCCCAAGGGTGATGGGTCTGCCCTCCTGCTTGGCCACACCTGCTCCTGGCCTTCAGAATGTGTCCCGTAAACCATTAGGGGAGCCTACCACGTTAACCCCGTGGCCCAGTGATGAAAGCTCTCACCGTGTCCTAAGTGCATTCAGTCTGTGTTTATGAGTCTGAGTGAGACGCTCCAGGGATGGGCAGAAGTGCTTTCGAGAACGCTTTCTCTTGCTGTCTGCAGTGGAGTGAGCATGTGGAACGGAGCCAATGTCTGCTCGCTTTTTATCCTACTGGCTACTAAATAGCAGGTGGTCAGCCAGAGTGTGCCTCCCCTCATGTAGGGGAGGCTCAGTCAGTTAAGCATCAGACTTCGGCTCAGGTCATGATCTCATGGTTCATGGGTTCAAGTCCCGCATCAGGCTCTGCACTGCCTGGGATTCTCTCTCCCTCTCTCTGCCCCTCCTCTGCCTCTCAAAATAAATAAAACTTAAAAAAAAATAAATAAATAAAGGACAGGTGAAGGGAACAGGGGACATTCTAGGGCAAGAGAAGACAGTGCTCTGGTGTGAAGTGTCTTTGAAGGTGTGCCTAATAAGGGCAGAGGCCTGGGTTGAAGGTTCTGTTCTGCTACTTACTAGCCCTGTGATCTTGGACAGGTCTGTTTACTCATCTGTAAAATGGGACAATAGTGCATATTCTGCCTTCTTTCCAGGTCCCAGTAAATGAGCTTTTTCTAGAATATAAATGTGAGATCCCATTTTACTGTTATTTTTCATCTGGGCAGGATTGTTTCAGAGCATTCCCAGAAGCTGATGGGAAGAAGTGGTGCATGCATTGTTCAATGGCTCTTTCTTGGGTGAGGATCACTTGGTTGTTGAGAGGATGCCCCTGAACAAAGTCCTGGGCATCACAGTCAGTCCCAGTGTTCAGGATGATTTGCTGTGACCCTTAAGAAGTCTGGAGTGCATTGGGACTTACAGGACTGCGGGTCCTGGGGCTTGGTTTTAAGTCCAGACTCTGACAGCTAATAGCTGTGGGATCTTTGGCAAGTCGCTGCCCCCTCTGGGCTTCAGTTTATACTTGTGTGAACCATGGAGTTGATTGAATCTTCCAGTTTGCTCTCATCCCTAAATAGCCTGGTTCAGAAAATACTGGAAGCTGCCAGGCTTTGTGTGTAGTGTGTATGTACCTAAGTGTCCTCCAGTCTTTTGGGGGGTCTTTCTGTGTCTCCCCCCATTCTGGGCGTCTGCTTCTTAGGTCTCTCCTGTTTTTTCCTTAGAGCCTCTGTCCTCTCTCCCGCTTTGTTCCCTCTTCCTTGCTGGTTTCTGTCGCCTCTTCCCACCTCTGGGTCCCTGCCTCCCCCATTTGTTTGGTCTTTTTCCTCTGCTCTTCTTTATATGGGTATTTCTTTTCCCCTTATTCTCAATTTCCTGGCTCTCCACTCCCTACCCTTGCCTGTATGGCTGAAGGCACCCCCCCCCCCCCACCCCCACCCCCACCCCTACCTATGCTGGTTTTCTCCCAGGTCCCAGGCCTGGTAGCTTGTGGCTGTGAGGTGTCTGTAGGGTGTCTGGATTCTATCCAGGGGTTTGTTAGCTGTCCCTTCCCCTCCCTCCACCTCCTGGCTCAGACCTCAGCAGGCACGCTCGGGTTGGCTGGTGGTGGTTGTCCGGCTGTTAAGCGGGTTGTGTGCTAGGGAGTTGGTATTCCCCTCGTGCCCTGCAGCCTGGCATTGGGCTCGGCCTTGGCACGGAGTGCTGCTGTCAGGGCAGCTGAGCCGGAGCCAGCAGGCGGGAGCTGTGCCTGGTATGCTAATTCCTGGGGCCGATTCTCACTGGGCTGAGGCTGCATATCGGGAGCTCACTGCTTTCTTTTCCTGAAGGTTTAAGGTCATTACCTATAGCCACATTTTCCTTCTTCTCCCTTCTCTTTCTCCCATCTGCTTTAGTTTCCCCAGAGCAGTGCTGGCTTCCAGATCAAGACTTGGGGCCTTCCAGAGCAGGCATAACATATTTTGAAGTCTTATGTTTTCTTCTAAAAATTATTTGAATTTAGCATTTGCTTCTTCATGTGTAAGCATATTTAACATCACTTACTGGAGCTCAGTAGACAGAGCCCAGAGAGCCAGAAGTGCAGGGCCTCATCCCGACAGTGAAAAGACAGCATCATTCATTCATTCACTCCTTCGCTCAGGCTATTGAGAGAGTGTCTGCTAGGTGCCAGCTGCTGTTGTAACTCTGGGGAATCAAACAAAGCCCTCACCATCATGGAGCAAACATTTATGATGGGGGTGACAGTGGACACGGTCAGATGTAGAGCTGTGCTCTGTGGAGAGAAAGACCGCGGGGAAGGGAGTGTGGGAATGTGGGAGGTGCTTGGCTGAGGCTCTGAGATCTGTGACAGAGGTGCTCAAGTAGGCCAGGAAGCCACCTCCCCAGTGACCCCCCCTGAGAACTGTGCATTATTGCGAGCACGCGTGTTGTGCGCATTTGTGTGTGTGTGTGTGTGTGTGTGTGTGTGTGTGTGTGTGTGTCTGTCTGTCTGTAGGGAGCAGGGGAGAAGAGAGAATCCTGGGGGGAGTGTCATAACCCAAAGAGGGAAGTGGGTTGCACCAAGTCTGCAACAAGGAACCCTGTGGCAGGGACAGCTGTGACTCACTTAACTGGAGTGGGGGGGGCCACAGGCCGAAGGCAGGGCCAGACCCACAGCCAGGGGTCCACTCTGAGGAACAGGCGGGAGAACCTCTGTGCCCCCCCTCCCCGGCTCCACTCAGCCTTGTTGGTTCCCCTGGTTCCCCTAAGCCTGGTCTGAGCTCCCCGGGGACCCTACTGCTGCAGCAGCAAGACTTTTCTTTGGTGTGGGTTCTGGCAGAGCAGGCAGGGATTGGGGTTAGAATGGTTCTGAGCCCTGTCCCTCCTCTCTCTACTTTATGAAAGTCACGGGAAGAGGCTGCCAGCCAGGCTTGAGGGAAGAGAGCCAGCGTGGGGTGGCGCTTCTCCCCTCCGGTTGGCTGCCTTCCAAAGTCTGAGCGGCCACCTCAGGTGCGGCAGAGTGGGCAGGCCCATTGGGTGCCCCTGCTGGATGCCAGGATGGGGCTGAGGGAGGCCTGAGGTGCTTGAGATTGTTGTTGCAGTTGGGTGAATGGCAGGTGGTCACCCAGAAACAGTTGAGATCGGCAGAACAAAGCTGGACAAGGCAAGTGCCAAGCGAATAGTTGTAAACATCCCAAGTGGAGTCCTCTCCTGGGGAATTAACTCAGGCAGGGAAAGGGCACCTTAGATGCAGTTGTTTGCAAACAAATCTACCACCTGTAATAGAAGGGCTTCACCACAGAGCCCCTGTGGGCAGGGCAAACCCAAACTGTAATAGCCCTTGTCACTTGGAGGCGTGTATGGCATCCCCACGGGGCTTTAGGGGACGAGTTTCTAGCAACTGGATTCCGTGGGCTGCCCTTCCAGGAGCTTTCTGATGTATACCCTCAGCCCATCTGGATCTCCTCCCCATCTCTGCTTATCTACCTTCTCTCTGGATTCCCAGTCTCTAAATGCCCGTGCCACCTTGGGGGAGCAGCCACTGTATTGTCATTAGCCTTTCCTTTTGGAATTTATCATGCATTTCTTTTGAGTCCCCACCGTTTGCCAGGTCAGTGGCTGTGGTGTTGACTACCACAGGCAAGACTAAATGGGGAGGGAAAAGCCTGGGCCTGGGTTGGGGTGGGGGCAGGAGGGCGGCCCCCTCTCTGACCTACACACATCTCTCTAGTAAGACATGCTTCTTGAATTGCAAAGTGTGTTCTACACTTAAAATGAGGTCCCACATTTTTGCTTGTCCATTGATGAATGTTGCTTTTAGAATTGAGCTGAATGGTTGAATTAGTCTATCTGTATTGGGGCTGGTGCACAGCTGTGTGAAGCTGATGGCTGTAGAAGGTAGTGAGGTATGTAAACAGGTGAGAGATGAAGGGACTTCTCTCAGGTGGCTGTCATACCTGGCAGAACAAAGTTTCTCATGCAGTGTGGTCAGTGGGAACCAGTGGACTTGGGTAGTCCAGATACCCTCACTAAGTCCATGTGGCTCTGGAGAGAGGGCCCTGCATGGGTGGGGTAGCTGGCTGCCTTTGGCTGGCCATTGGGCAGACTTGGCTGAGTATGGTGAGGTTATGGGGAAAGCTATGAGACAGATGGGGTCTCTGAGGGGCTGGTGGGAGTCATAGGGGAGGCCAAACTTTGGAAAGATGAGGGAAAGGAGGAAGAGCCAGAAGAGGACAGTGGTGTGCATCAGGATCACCTGGAAGGCTCCTTAAGACATAGTTGCTCAAGTACCCGCAGAGTTTTGATTCAGCAGATTTGGGATGGGGCCGAGAATTTGCATTTCTAACAGGTTCCTGGGTGGTGCTGATGCCACTGGTCCAAGGACCACATTTTGAGGTCCGTTGATCTCACAGGAAGGAAACCGGAGATGAGATCAGGCATGAGCACTCGTAAACGCTGAGTGGCACCAGACAGACGTTTCTTATCAGAAGAAGTGTGAGAGTGTGATATTGCAGGAGCTGCACCTCGCTGAAGCGTTCTCCTCTCTCCCTGTGGCTTCTGTCAGTACCTGCTCAGATTTCGTAACTTCTTCAGCCTTGTAGGACATTCTCCTCTTATCCTGGTCAGATGGTATATAGTAGGTGGGATATGGTACACATTTGAGCTTAAAAACAAAAACTTGCTTGGGCCTAAGGCAGAGAGTCTGAAGTAATGGTCTGGGAAGGGCCACGTTAATCTGTATTCTTTTAAATTTCCCAGGTGGTGCTGATGAGCAGCCAGGACTGGGAGCCACAGATCTATACTGTAGTTGGTTTTTCTTCTTAGAATGGGCTGTACTCCTGGGGACTTGCTTTGTCCAGAGCTGTCCATGTTGCCCCTCTGCTTATCTCTGTCTTTCTTGATCAGCCCATATCCTTTTGGTTACTCTGCTTCCTCCAGTTCTCTGAGAGCCCACCTATAGTCAGGGCCTTCCCTGCTATTAAGAATTTCAAGGTACCAGGCTTTTTTTAGGCCACGAGCAGATTTTACTCTGTCAACACCTTTGTGAGGACCTCAGGTAACAAATGGTTTCGGACATTTGTGTCTTTTCAGTGATGCTGAGAGTAGAAAATTGTGCAAGAAGATGAAAGTTGACCTGAGCCCAAAGGACAAAAAGGTTGAATTATTCCATTACCAGTAAGTACATGTGGGCATTTCCAATTTCCAAGTAAGTGCTAGAAAGCTTTCATTGGTATTCCCAGTGAACAGTTTTGAGTTAGGTTAATTTTATTTCAGTGTTTTTCTTCTGTGTTTACAGTTCTTTTTTTAAAAAAAATCTTGAACTGTGTTCAATAGCTGAATGTTATTAAGATGCTGCAGGAAACCAAAGGTATGTATCTTCATAACCATTCTTAAAGTTAACACCTTTTTCTCCTCATTCGACAGGGACGGTGCATTTCATACTGAATATAACCGAGCTGTGACATTTAAGGTAAATTTACCTCCCTCATTCTCAGCAGAGGTAGAGTCTGAACAGATGCCAAAAGCCTGGCAGGTTTTCTCTGAGAGAAGGAAGGGCAGATTGCACAGATAGCTCTTTCAAATGACCTGAGGGATTCTTATCTCTAGAGCACATGTCAGCAGAATATCTGGAAAAGTTTGTAACCGTTAGCACAACGGGGATGGCCAGCCTTGTAGATAAGTGTGTGAATCTATCAGCAGAGGCATGTGGGTGAGACATGTGACGTTACGCCTCTCTCCTCCAGAGGCCTGGGTTTCCTTTTGCTGTGGCTTGAAGCGCTCCTTCATCTCCACGGTAGTGTCCATACTGGCTATCCAGAGTCTGTGGGGCACTTAGCACAGGGTGCAGGACACGGGCAGGTTGGCACCTGTTGGCTGATGCACTTCATTTCAGATGACACGCCGATGTCACTGAGTCATTCCCCTGCTACAAGTCCGATTTAGCAGTGGATGGAAAAGCATCAGTGAAAATAGGTGTGGAAGGTCTTTGACCCACCACCCTGAGTCCTTCGATTGCCTTTGGATTCTCCTCCTTCAGCTACCCATTCTCTTCCTCAGACAAGTCTTCTCCTATCTCTGGTCCGGGCGGCATGCCTCTGCCCTGTCTGGGGCCATGTATTTCTTCTGTTCTCAACATAGACTGAACTTATTTTTTCAGACTCTCCTGCTTTGCGCTCCTCTTTCTGTCTCTCTTTCTCCATCTCCTTCCATTCTTTCCTGTTCATCCATCCGTGCAGCTGTCGGTGTCCCACTCCTCTACTGCTCTTCCTCGGCTCCCTGGTCACTTCTTGCTTATCTACCAGCACTCTTCTTTTTTAAGTTGCTACAGCTTTACCTTATACAGATTCAGCCTGATTACTCATCTTAATACCCACTTAGACACTTAGAGAAAATTCTACCACCTAGAGTTTCTTAACCTCTTGTTCTGTGTTAAGATGTCAGCCGAAGCCCTCAGAGAGAACACGCACTCCCCAGGAACAATGTGTAGCCGGGCAGGGCAGGGGAAGTGCTATGCAGTGATGGAAGGGGGTGCCGGGGGCTTTTAGTTTTGTCTTTGGAGGCTGTGTTGAGTTTACATTTAGCGGCTCCCTCTGAGCAGTCTGTCCTGGGATCATGGAGCAGGAAATAGCAGCTGCTCAGAACTGTAGTAGCTAGGAAGGAGCAAGGAGCCCAAGTGGTCTGAGCTTGCCTAGGTCGGGAGGCTGAGTCCTGGCCTCTGTCCACCCCTTACAAAGACCAGGTGTGTGGCATTTGCTCACTCTTCATCCTTCCTAGGATTTCTGCATCAATAAGTTGGAGAAGCAGGCTGAGTGTTGGACAGGGTCAGAGTCTTTAGTGGAGAGAGGGCATCCTTAGTTCAAGGGTTCCCCAAAGCCCACAGGGTCATCAGGGACTGGGGTAGGGTCCCTGGAGTTCTCAGGGCAAGGGTAAGCAGCATATTGTTTCCCATAACTGCCTGATGGCTTCTGCTCATCATTGAGCAGGAGCAGCTGAGACCAGTGCCCTCCTTGGTCACAGGTTGGTTTTCTTCTCAAGTTTCCTCCTGGGCCTCCATCTCCAGAGAGACAGAGGAGTCCCTGCCAGGGTTGGGTGCCCAGTTGCAGGTTCATGCTCTGGCTATTGTTGTTGTCGTCCTGTGTGGTTCTGGGGGGGCCCAGTCACAGGCACCACGCTGTGGCCCCTAAAGAAGCCAGAGACCAGACAAGTGAGGGTAAAGAGCAGGAAGCTCAAAGAGGGGAACTTCCTGTATAAGTGGCCTTTTGCTGGTCAGCAGTCTGTCCTGCAAAATCCTTATTATGTGTCAGTGGTGAGGACTGGAGATGCCTGGAAGCCAGGATTCAGATGATCCTCTGACAACCTTCTCCCAAGACCATGTAGCTATGAGTGTGGTTTCCCAGACGTGAAGATGTCCTGAAAACCAAGGTGTGGGTGTGGGGCCATTTCCCTGGCATTCAGAGCACCCAGGACAGGATGGCTGAGGGAGTGGGGTGTTCCCCATGCGGCTCCCTGCAGATTTTTCCACCCAAGATCTCATCGGTTACAGTGCTTTGGAGAGAACCTATGGATGGAATCACTCAACTTCAGTTAAACAAGAATAATCTCCACCTGAAAAGCAAAAGATTGCTAGTATGATTATTTCAGTTCTTACGTTAGAAGAGGTGGCTCCTTTCCTCTTTGCATCCACTTTTGTCTTTTCTCCTTGATGCTGAGGCAGGGGTGGGAGTCGGGGAATGGGAGATGGTGCTAACCCTTTAACTCTGCTTGTGCTGGTGCGTGGACAGGAGGCCCCTGAGAGCAATAGTTCCTAACCGATTTTGGGTTCCTTGTCCCACTGAGAATCGACTGAAAGGCATGGATCTTCTCCCTAGAAACAGTGTGTTTGCATGAAGTAAATGTAAAATGTTGTCGTGTGAGTAAATGTAAATGTTAAGTAAAGTAACATGAAGAGTAATGCTTTCATGTGAGGCTGGGGTTTCACAGACCCCTGAAGGCTGCCCGTGTACCCTAGATTGAGAACCCCTGCACCAGGCATTTTCTGAAACAGGTGGGCAGCTGTAAGCATCTTTCTCACATGGCCCAGGTGGGCAGGCGCCTGTGCAGCTGTGGGTGAATATGGGTTTCAGGAGGCCCTCCAGTTCCATTCTGGCTTATACTGTCACAGGGAAGCTTTGACAGGGACAGAGGAGGCAGACCTGCCTTTGCCATGTGGAAATGGCCCTCTCTTCTTGCCAGAAGGCGTTTCACAGCCCCATTTGGAACAGCAAGGGAGCATTACCTGAATGAAATTCTACGAAATCTTAGCTGTCTCCCATTTTTCCATAGTAGCTCTTCCCAAATAATAAGCTCACGGAGGTCCTGTGTGCATGACCAGTGGATGGCTGAATGCACAGCCTCCCTAAGAACGTGTTTCCTTTTCTCACCTCAGCCCTCCTCCCTCCCACCACACTTGTGGACACATTCAGGTTGTCATCTGCTCTTTGGGACTTGATCGAAGTGGACAGAAGTCACAAAATCTTGCATCAAATTGGGAACGCTGAAGGCTCTGTCTGTTGGCATGGAAGCCAGCAACTCCCCTCCAGGGTTGAAGGGATGGAGGTTGGCTGGTTTCTGGTATTCGTTCCTGGCTCTCATAGACTTTGAGCACCATTTCCCAGAGTGGCTGTCTGAGGGAAGGCTGCTTCTGTCCTGGACCAGTGAAGTGTGGCAGGGATAGAGGGCAGTGGAGGGACAGCGGCCTCCACATGGGAAGATTGTGTCTTTCCCAGAGGGAGTGAGATTTGAGTCAGTTGTCCACATGACAAAGGCTAGGTAAGTCCTTTATCCTGAAGGTCCTTGTCAGATCTTCATCCTGGGCATGTAGAGGGAGGGTATTCAGGCAAGTAGGCAGCCACAGAGATGAGCACCCTGCCCCTGGGGGCTTCCCGGCTTGAGCTCCTCTCAAACCAGTTTAGATCACAAAATATTGAGCAGGTGGCAATTAGGTGTGCTTACCTGCTTGTGCGATCGGCAGTTTTGGAGGCTGCACGAATGTGGAATCCTTGGACAGGACTGGAGACCTTTATTCAAATTGATCAGAAAGGCTTCCTGGAGGAGATGAGACTTAGAAGCATGAGCCTGTCTCTGGTTTGAATAAGCCAATGAATTGTCTCAAATCTCCTCTTTGATGTCCATGAAGAAGCACAGTAGGTATGGATCACCTGACCAGATTAAGGTGTCACGTGGCTGAAAAATTTTGGTGGAGGCGGTGGGGGTGCATTTTTAGGGCCCTCAGCAGTGAAGTCAGTGGGCAATGGAATGGCACCCCTGCCCCCCACGGGGTTGCCTACGTGCGACATGCAGACCCTCTCCAGGCACGTGGGTCTCTGGGCAGAGAGATGGGGCAGGTTCCTGATTTCCCCACCTCCCTCTTTTCCTGGCTAAAACGACTTTTCCCTTCTTTGTTCTTTTCCTCAGTCTATAGTGGCCTTTCTGAAGGATCCAAAAGGGCCTCCACTGTGGGAGGAAGATCCTGGAGCCAAAGACGTTGTCCACATTGACAGTGAAAAGGTAACTTATTTTGCATCGATTCTGGTGGACACTGGAAGCTTCCCCCAACCAGGGTCTCCCTAGGAGGAATGCCCAAAGAAATGAGGAATGGGACTTTTCAGAGACCAGTTGTACTTTTCTCCAAGGGAGCCGGGCCCCTAGGCCCCTAATATTTGTTCTCCTTCCCAGCTCCATGACGGAACCCACAGGAGATCACAGACTGGCTGCCTGAGACCTTGCCTGAGACCTCCCATTCTTCACTGCCTTATTTAATGTATTTTAATGTGTTTAGATTTTTCTCAGAGAAATATCCATTTAAAAAGCCTTTCCTTATTATATAACCCAGTCATTGCTGGGATTGGCTCTGTGTGTGTGTGTGTGTGTGTGTGTGTGTTTAAAAGTAAGTTTTGTTTTTTTGTTTTCTTTAAGAATAATCTCAGAGGTTTGGATTGGAGTTCCAGAGACTTGGGTCAGATCTCTATAATTCTAAGTCATGTAAATTTGAGCAAATTATTTACCCTCTTAAGTTTTAATTTCTGGATTTGGCTGGGCTAGGGAGTTAGGGAGTACAACAGTGGTTCTGATTTATAGTCTCCATACAACCTGACCCTCCTTTCTAAGCCTGCCCCACCCGACCTGAATGTGCGTCTTTATCCATGTATTGTGACACGTGCGTACCTCATTTGTTTGGCTGTGTCTTCACCTAAGGATGGGCAAGAACGTCTTTGTTATATTCCAGATGGTCTGTGAGACAGGCAGTGCTATTTTGTAGACGGAAGGAGAATGTCCTTTTTTTAAAAATCTATGAAATACTGTTGACATACAGTGCTATATTAGTTTCAGATATATAACATAGTGATTCGACAGTTCTACATATTACAGAGTGCTCACCATGAGAAGTGTGGTTACCATCTGTCATGATACAAAGTTATGGCAGTATTACTGACTCTGTTCCCTTTGTTGTACTTTTCATCTCTGTGACTTATTTCTCTTATAATTAGACATTTATACCTCTTTTAAAAAATTTTTTTTTAATGTTTATTTATTTTTGAGAGAGAGAGAGGGAGAGAGAGAGAGAGAGAGAGAGAGAGAATGCAAGCAGGAGAGGGGCAGAGAAAGAGGGAGACACGGAATCCAAAGCAGGCTCCATGCTCTGAGGTGTCAGCACAGAGCTCAGTGTGGGGCTGGAACCCACAGACCGTGAGATCCTGACCTGAGATGAAGTCAGACACTAAATTGACTGAGCCACCCAGGTGCTTCTGGACGTTTATACCTCTTAATCCCCTTCACCTATTTCACTTATGCCCCCACTCCCTTCTCTCTGGCAACTACCAGTTTTTTCTCTGGTTTTATCAGTCTGTTTTTATTTGTTTGGTTTTGTTCGTTTGTTTTGTTTCTTAGATGCCACATATAAGTGAACTCATATGGTATTTGTCTTTCTCTGAATTATTTCACTTAGCATTACCCTCTAGATCCATCCATGTTGCTGCAGATGGTAAGATCTCTTTTTTTATGGCTGAGTAATATTCCATTGTTTGTTGTGTGTGTGTGTGTGTGTGTGTGTGTGTGTGTGTATGTATATATGTATGTGTATATACACACACACATATATATACACATACATACATACCATGTCTTCTTTATCCATTTATCAGTTGATGAACACTTGGGTTGCTTCTGTATCTTGGCTGTTATAAATAATGCTGCAGTAAACATAGGGACATGTATATCTTTTCAAGTTAGTGTTTTTATTTTCTTTGGGTAAATACCTGCTAGTGGGAATTACTGGGTCATATGGGATTTCTACTCTCAATTTTTGGGTGAACCTCCATACTCTTTGCATAGTGACTGCACCAGTTTATATTTCCACCAAGAGTGCATCCTCGCTAACACTTGTCATTTGTTTTTGTGATAGGAACTGGAGAATGTTTGTTCTTATTTGATAACATGAAATGTACTTTTTATATTCCTCTGCCTCCCCTCCCTTTTCATTTAAAATTACTGACCCTTAATGCTTGTTAATCCAGAAGAAAAGGATGCCATTTATACTTTCTGGAGGAGGGATCATGTGTGATCGTTACGGGCTGGGCAATTTGAATTAAGGGGCTGGCCATCAGCATTTCTCTGGGATAGAAAATGCCAGTATCATCAGAAGGTAACAAGTATGTTGCTGGCAGGGGAAGAGGGGCAAATGTGCCCGTAGTTATGAGGAAAACAAGCAGCCTAAACTCACTGTTGCTCGTGGGAAGATTTTGTGATAATGCATGTTTCTAGCCTTTCTGGAAAGTGATTGCCTGCTGTCTCCTTCCCCTGAGATGATCATGTCCTGAAACTCCTAAGATCGCTCTTCTGTAACTAGAAATATTAAGGAGAAAAAAAATGTTTTCACACCTTTAGGCAATCCTCTTGTTATACTTGGTGCTGTTTTCTCTTCTGTAGAAGTTTAAGGTACAGCTGCCTTTCTGCTGATAGAATCTCCACATAAAATAACTAAAAGTTCCCAATTCAAGTTAATTGCCAATTGTATTTGTGAGGTTAGTATTCTGCACTGTTGAAGGTAATTAAGCATCTTTGAATGTAATGTAATGATTGTTACTACCCAGGGTATGAAACCAAATGGTTACAGGCTCAGAAAACCCATTTCGTCTCAGATCTCCAGGTTTTTTCTCCAGGGATTTCAGAAGATCATTTTCAAAGCGTTTGCATTTTCTACCCGTAGTCAGGGTCAAAGATCTTAGTTGTTAATTCTGTTTTGTAAAATTATATAATTCTAGTTATGTAAACAAGGGTGAACATTTTCAGAATTTATTATAAAATGTTTTAAATTCCTACAAAATATTTGTAATATTTTTTATCTAACTGAAAAATTATAAGCAATGCGTATTCATTGTTGAAAATTTAGAAAATACAGCTTAAGTTTAAAAAGAAAAACAAGTTACTTTATCCCTTCCCATTGAGAAGTACCCACTGCTGGTATTTTCTGTAGCCTTCCAGGCTTTCAACATAATGCATACATATTTTTACTCACAAAAGTGTCATTATATTTTATATGCTGCTTTCTAACTTGCTTTCTTCCCCCCACTTAACGTAACAGGCATATCTTATTGTGACATTAAATATTCCTCTTCATCGTTTTTAATGATGCAGTAGTATTCCATAGAGCGGGATGTACCCTCATCTATTTACCTAATGCCTTGTTGCTGCCAGAAAGCTGCATTTCGCAATCTCCTTTTACTTTCCTTATTATTCAAAAGAGAAAAACCTCTAATTTTCTTCTATGGAAACTGGTTAGAGAAGCAAATTATTTTAATCAAAACATGCTTTGTCATTGCGTTTCTCTGCATTCCTTGATAGATTTGCTTTTTCCGGAACATCGTTGACTTTCGTTGGAAGAAAGGTCTTTGACCCTGCTTTACACTGAAGTCTCTCCATTAGCACTGTTGTGAAATATAAAAATGTCTTTTTTTTGCATTTATTGTATTTATTTAACAAATAATTATGTATTGCATAATAATGTGCCAGGCACTGTTTGGAGGGTTTTACAAATACAGATGATCTGTACCCCATGGGGGCAGGAGGGCATGTCTCATCTGTGTGTTCCTGTGCACACAATGGGCTCCTGGGCACATGGACGGTGGCGGTAGGGCTGGGGAAAGAGACAGTGGGTTTGGGTTAGCCCTGTGTGACCTTAACCAGCAGATCTCCGTCTAGCCAAGTTGGGCCACGTGAAAACAACCAACCCCCTACAACACAACCACTCCATAAATCACTTGAGGGGGCAGGCTGGTTGAGCCTCACAGGACATAAATAGTTCCTTGCAGGTTTTTAATCGTTCAGGTGGAGCTGCAGGTAAAGCTGGTAGCCTGGTCCTGACTACTTCATCATACCAAGTGGCCTTGGGAAAGCCATGTGCCCCCTTGGGGCCTCAGTTTCTTCATCTGTAATATGCAGGGGTAGTACAGATTGTCTCGATCGTCCAGCTCCTGACAGGCTGAAACTCTGGCTGCATGCCCCAAACCCCACGTCAGACCATGGGACATCTGAAATGCTGGACAGCTCCTTCCACCATGGTGGTGCCCCCCACCCTCCAGAGCCAGGGGCATGTCGCCTCCCTGTTGTGTTATTGTGTGTGTGACCTGCCGTGTTCTCTCTTTGTGCCTCAGGACTTCAGACGGCTCCTGAAGAAGGAAGAGAAGCCCCTCCTGATGATGTTTTATGCCCCCTGTGAGTGACCTTTCTCCTTTGGGCCAGAGTTCATTGTTCAGCCTCTTGGAGGGGCAGCTGGGGGTTGGGAGGCGGGGGACTGGGAACTAGCCCCAACTCTCTTAGAATGTGAAGTGCGTCCCTCACCCCATCTCTCCGTCTGCCTCTTTGCCTTTTCATTTGGCTCCTCCCCTCCTACTGTCCACATCAGTTTTTCTCTCACTAGAATCTGCATCCTTCTGCCCTCCTTGCCCCAAGCTCTACCTAGCAACAACACAGGTCTCTCCAGGTATTCCTTTCCCACCAGCTGTGTGCCTGGTGGAGCTATGTGCCGATGGAGCCATGCCTCACCCTCTAGGTCCACTGCTGCTCACCAGCCAGAGCCTGGCCAGCCCCCCAAGGCAGCCATTTGCCCAGCTCTGGCTCCTGCACACCTCTGCTGGTGTCACCTGGGAGGTGTGGGGGAATCAGGACCAGGGAGAAAAGGGCCTCATATTTTGGTTCATTCTCTAGATGAGGCACAAAGCCATAGGAACAGCAGAAAGATCATTGAGATGACAACCAGAAGACCCAGGTTCTAATTCCAGCTATGCCAACAATCGAGCTGGGTGACCTTGGTCAAATCCTTTGCCTTCAAATCCTTCATCTTCAAATCCTTCACGTCTCTGCCCCTCAGTTTCCATTGCTTTAAAAAAATTTTTTTTAATATTTACTTATTTTTGAGGAGGAGAGAGAGCGTGAGCAGGGAAGAGGCAGAGAGAGAGACACAGAATCTGAAGCAGATACCAGGCTCCAAGCTGTCAGCACAGAGCCCGACATGGGGCTCGAACTCAGGAGCCATGAGATCATGACCTGAGCCAAAATCGGATGCTTAACCAACTGAGCTACTCAGGTGCCCCCACCCCCCTCAGTTTCCATTTCTATATGAAAAGAGAGTGTATCAGAGCAGTGGCTTTCAGACTTTTTGACTGTATTTCCTAGTATTAATTTAAAAATACTTTTCATGGCAACCTGGTGCTATAAGTATACATGTAACTTATATATACTTATAGTAAATAAGTTGACTAAGTAAATAAGCTGAAACAACAGTTTTACAAAACCATACTTTACCCTTACTACTTGCCATCTACTCTGCCAGATGTAGTATGCACTATTTCGTTTTTCTATTTTGTTTTATGTATGTATGTTTGTTTATATTTGAGAGAGAGACAGAGCACAAGCCGGGGAGGGGCAGAGAGAGAGGGAAACAGAACCTGAAGCAGGCTCCAGACTCCTAGCTGTCAGCACAGAGACTGATGCGGGGCCCAAACTCATAAGCCATAAGATCATGACCTGAGCTGAAGTCGGATGCTTTAACCAACTGAGCTACCCATGCACCCCAGTCTGTTTTGTTTTATTCAGAAGTTACTGGTTTTTCCTATAACCCTCTAATAGAGGGTCTGCAAACTATGGCCCGTGGGCTGTCCATCTTTTTTGGTAAGTTAATTTTTGTTGGAATAGACATATTCATTTGTTTATAGATTGTGGCTGCTTTCAAAAGCTAAGCAGAGTTAATTAGTTGATAGTATGTTCTACAAAACCTCAAATATTCTGCCTGGGCCACCCTGGAGTCTAACAGGTCCCAACCCACAGATTGAAAACCCTGGAATACAGCCTATGTAAGGCCCCTAGAGCTGTGGCTCTGTGATCTGCATAATGCCCTTCAGAAAACTAAAGACTGGAGAGAGAGGGGCCATGTGTGGTGGGATGTAGGTGTGCCCTGGCCTGTCCGTGGCTTGGAGGAGTATCAGTGGCTATCATCCATCACCCCACAGTGGACTTCCTTCACACACCCCAGGCCCCTTTCCCCTCTGGTAACCACTGAACTATGAGTTTGTTTTTGTTGTGTTTTGTTTAGTTTAGTTTTTAGATTTCGCATGGAAGTAAAATGATAAGGTTTTTGTCTTTCTCCTTCTGACTTATTTCACTAGCATAATGCCCTCAGTGTCCATCCTTGTTGTTGCAGGGGGCAAGAGTTCATTATTTTTTATGGCTGAGTAGTAATTCTGTTGTGTATATATGTGTATGTGTATATATACATATATATATATATATATGTATATATACACACGTATATATACTATACATACCACAGCTCATTATCCATTCATCCACTGATGGACATATAGGTTGTTTCCATATATTGGTTATTGTAAATAATCCTGCAATAAACATAGAGTGCATGTATCTTTTCAAATTAACGTTTTTATATTCTTCAGATAAATACTGTTCCAGTAGTGGAACAGCTGGATCATATGGGAGTTGTATTCTTAATTTTTTGAGGAATCTCCATACTGTTTTCATAGTAGTTGTACCAACGTACGTTCCTACCAACAGTGTACAAGGGTTCCTATTTCTCCACATCTTCGCCAACACTTGCTATTTCTTTTTGATAAAATCCCTTCTGACAGGCGTGGCACACAATGATATATCATTGTGGTTTTGATTTGCATTTCCCTGATGAGTGATGTTGAACATCTTTTCATGTGTCTGTTGGCTCACTTGATTGTGTTGAATGATCCTTTTAATGTATTGTTGAATTTGGTTTGCCAATATTTTGATGAGGATTTTCACGTCTATGTTCATCAAGGATATTGGCCTATAATTTTCTCTTTTTGTGGTGTTCTTGTCTGGTTTTGGTATCAGAGTAACTGGCCTCATAAAATGTATTTGGAAGTATTCCCCTCCTTTTCAGTGTTTTGAAAGAGTTAGAGGAGAATAGATATTGAATCTTTGAATGTTTGAAAGAATTTATCAGTGAAGCTGTCTGGTCCTGGACTTTTGTTTTTGGCAGGTTTTTGATTACTGATTCAATCTCATTGCTAGTAATTGGTCTATTCAGGTTTTCTGTTTCTTACTGATTTAGTCCTAGAAGATTATATGTTTCTAGGAATTTGCATATTTCTTCTAAATTATCCAATTTTTTTTGGTGACTAATTGTCCATACTAGTCTCTTAGGATCCTTTGTATTTCTATGATGTGAGTTGTAACTTCTCATTTCAGTTCTATTTACTCTTGTAAGCCTGCCTTGAATCCTTTTTCTTGAGAAGTTCTTTGGACAAAGACCCCTCCCATTTCCACCTGAATGATCATGCCTCCCAAGATGGCTGCCCTTTTATGAGGTTCTGGTGGTTCTGTGGTTAGTTCACCATAACAATAGCCTGTCCCCAGCCCCTGTTGATTGCTGGGTATCCCCCTAACCCAGCCTCCTCTCAGATACCTTGCTGGCCTTAAGGGTGTGCCTGCCTATAGAAAGGAGGCCCTGGTGTCCTACTTCTAGTTAGATCAGGCTTTGCTCAGAATGGTCATGCACTTTAACCTTGGGTCATTCTCTTCTTTTATGTTCACTGGTTGGTTTCACGCCTTTTTGTTTCTCCTTGGAGGGATCTTATTAACTGCTTAGCTGTGAGTTGCTTCAGGAATTGTCCTGCCTACCCAGCCCCTTGAGGAGAGGGCCCCCTTTGGTTTATCTCAGAACCTTTCAGGATTCATTGTATGGGCTAGATGAGATTAAAACCGAGTATATGTCTGTATATAGTTCGTGTCACAGGCAGGATCATGGTATAGTCGTGTGGGTTTCATTAAAATGACACTAGTCCATCACTTACAAAGGTGGTTCCCTAGCAGTTTGCGCTGGAATGTGTGTGCCATCTCCCCCACCCCTTTCCCAGGCTGTCTGGGAGGGTGCCCATCCTCCTCCCCATAGCAGGCAGAGAGGCATGCATAGTTATTACCTTTATATAATGGAAAGTGGGATAGAAGTTAGGTCCCTTGTTGGTGTCACAGAGCAGTTAATAGTCGAGAAGGGAGGATGAAAACTTGGAGCCGTTAAGTTCAAATTTGTGAAGGGGTCAGACTGGATGGCCTCCTGGGTCCCAGGTAACCTCAGGACTCTTTTGTTGTTGTTTTTGTTGAAACAGACATGTGCTTTTTATTATACTAGTCCACTCAAGCCTTCATGGCCTCATAATTCAGCTTATTCCTGGAAACACACCAGTTCCCTAACTGGGAAGTCTTTTAGGACTCTGATCCTTTGATCATGTTCGGGGTGAATGAACCCAAAGGCAGTGGGAGGCTTTACTTGTGACAAGGAATCTGGGTCCCTGGGACCTATTGTTTATTCAGTCAATGTTGACAGAATTAGTGAGAAAATAAAAGGGTGACCACTCTAACTTTCAGGGTTTGAGAGTGACAATTAGTCTTATCTCTTCCTGTGCCTCCTGGTTGAATCCATTGAAAGAGATTCAGATAGGGATCATGGTACCAGCTCTATTTTTGGTCAAGTTAAATTGGAAACTGGCTTGGCCTGTAGCTTCCTATTACTCTTCCATCACCTCTTCACCTCACTAACTTCTTCTCCCAGAGCTGCTGGGCTCCACCCATGGGGATTTGGGGGGGACATGAGGGTAATGTTGCTGCAGGCTGCAGACGGGCAGAGCTGGAAAAGAGACACCACCCCTGTGGGAGTAGTTCATAAGTTAAGCTCCTGACTGATGTGGCCCAGTGGGCGTCAGACTCCCACCATCTCATCAAGCCACTGAATAAAGAGTAGATGAACTCCAAGTGCACTCCCCCCTGCCCCCGACTTACTTTCCCTCCTGGGAGTGACATCCTCTGTCCCCTGTGGAGTGTTCCCCCACTGCAGACCTAGCAGGTGCAGACACTCAGGTCTTGTATTGACAGTGCCTTCCTTGCTGAGCGTCCGGCTCTGTCCTCCCAAGTGTTGGCTCTGCCCCTCAGCCTCCAGGGGAGACTCTGTGTCCACTCCATAGATGGGAAAGCTGAGGCTCAGACTACTCGCTCAGTCTTAGCACAGGCAGCAGACAGTCAAGGGGAGACCTGGGTCTCATGCTCCCCAGAGCTGAGCATCTTGTTTGCTGTGTGCCCCCCGTTGTCCCTGCTGTGTGTCATCCACCATGGAGCATGGGCACCTGGCCGGGTCGGCCTTGTTGTCCCTGTTTCCCTCCTCTGTGAGTGTCCCACCATGGGAACAGTGTCCCCTGACAAATGTCACGTTCTTTTCTTCATGACACTTGTGGGGATGGGGCTGTGTGTGGCAGCTGATGGAGAGAGGTGCATCTTGTCTTCTGAGGACAGATGCTGCGGGCTGTCCTTGCAACCACTCCCACACTCCTGAGTCTCCCTGAGTCTGAGCCTGAACTAATGGCATGAACCTAAGCCCAGGCTGGTGTGTGTACAGTGTGTGTCCGTCTGTCTGCTGGGCAGGAATGTCACAGGAGGACCATGGGCATTTGGGGAGTTCCATGTCAAAACCCCCTGCATCACATTTGGTCCAGCGGACTTGTGCTGGGGAGGTTCCTGTGGAACCTTGGACCTGCTCACAGTTCTCCAGTGTCTGTATCTGGCCCCGTGGGTGAGAGCACCTCTCCGATCTGTATTACTCTGCCCACAGTCTGCCAAGGTGTTAGCTAAACACGGATTAGAGCTTGTCCACCTACTGCTGCTTGGCCCTGTCCCCACTGTCATGTTGAGATGAGATCCAGCCTGACACAGGGGTCTGGTCAGCTTTGGTGTCTACAGCCTTCAAGTGCATCTCAAAGCCTTTTTGCAGCAGAGCGGCTGTCAGAAAGAGTAACAGCCTGACATGTCTGAATTCCTTATGTCTGAAGAAACTGGTACATGTGTCCTGTGGGATCACTATGGAAATGTGGCCTGCTCTGATCGATGCGGGGGCGGGGTGGGCGGAGAGGTTTTAAAGCAAGGTCGCTCTGAAGTGGTAGTGGATGTTTGGGACCTGGCTATCTTGGCCCTGTGTCCCCCAAGGCTTGGGGGGCCTTCATCATCCCAGGAGAAGAGTGACCACAGAACCCCACAGAGGGTTGAGCCAGAGACATCACAGAATCCTCGATGTCAGAGCTGGAAGGGGCCTGAGGTTGTCTGCTCCAACCTTCCTCATTTGCCAGAAGGAGCCATCACCCAGAGAGCCATGTCCAGGGCCACCACACAGTGCATCCAGGGAAGACAGGCCCTCAGGTGTGCCAATCCTGGCCTGGTGCGCCTCCTGCAAGGCCCGAGTCAGTATTTCACACCCAGCCCGTCTCCACTCACTGCCCAGTTATTCTTGTTGATTAAGAAAAGGGGCATGGAAATCCCAAGAGTCATTGTACCCGTGGTTGCACATTTTTCTTTCTAATGGCATCTGATTCAGGTTCATTTACAGTCCCTGACTGTGCTTTCCTGTCACCTGTTCAGGTTCCCTGTATTCCTGTTGAACTCATGATCAGCCCTAAACTATTCCACGCTTTGACCTTCTCCAGCTGTGTCACATTTGCTTAGTCAGTCCCACATTTATCGAGGGACTGCCGGGCTGTGTCGTGATCTACACTATCAAGATTGTAAGCTCTTTGGAGGGCAGGGCCTCTATTCCTTCTGTGTCCTCAGGGTCAGCAGCAGTCCTGCCCTCCTGCAGGCTGAATAAATGTTTGCTGGCAGAGGTTAGCCTGAGGGGAGGGAAGCCAGGGCATAGGGGTCCAGCACCCACCATAACCGAGTTTGTTTCTCTTCTATCTGTGACCAGGGTGCAGCGTGTGCAAGAGGATAATGCCACATTTCCAGAAGGCCGCGACCCAGCTGCGAGGCCACGTTGTGAGTGAGGCCCATGGGCCTGGCAGGGCTGGCCAGCTCCCAGACTTCTCCCTCTCACCTGGAGAGGCGGTGGGAGGAAGGGGCCTAGGGTGCAGGAAGAGGGCAGGTCTGCAAATCTCAAGGAGTCACCCTCCCGCTGCCCTGGGCATGTGACTCAGACCTGTTCTTGGTGGATGGCAAGAACTCCCCAGAGTTGCTGGGACCAGGAGAGTTCAGTGCTTGTCCAAGCAAGGCCAGTGATGAAATAACCAGGAAACCAGCAAGAAGCCCACGTGGTATTGCTGGGTGGCCAGGGGCCATCAGCAGAGCATCAGGGCTCCAGAATTACTGGGGCTGGGCTCCAAAGCAGGTCAAGGCTCCCAGTGCTGGGCAGCCCACTGGCGGCAAAAGAGGCATGGTCACCAGTGGTGGGCCCAAAGCAGATTCACAGGAAAGTTTCCTGCCAGGCTTACCAGGGATATGTTTTATGTGGGGCTGGAGGAGCCGTGGAAACGACAGCAGAAAGAGGCAGTCCAGGTGGGGAGTCGGACACCCGAACTCACAGGCGCCCTCTGAAGGAGAGTGTGCAGTGTGTGTGTGGGGGGGGTGGGGGTGAAGCAGACAGGAGGCAGGGTTGTGTCAGGAGTGCCCATCTTTCAGGGACAGGAGGGGGAAGAGGAGCCCCTGAGGAAACGAGCCTCAGGAAGGAAGAACAACCAGGATGGTGCAGCAAGGGCAGGGGAGACTGGACAGTCAGACCTCACCAGGCTGAGGACCACTCACTGATGGTCCCAGTCATTTCTGGGCAGCCTCCACCTGCCAGCCTTGTCTCTTCTGTGCCACGTGTCTATCTAGTTTTGCGCATTCCCTGAGCCACACAAATACCGAGGGTTTTTTGTTTCGTTTTTGTTGGTGGTAACAGAAAAATAACTGTTGGCCCCTCTAGGGAGCATGGAAAAATCCATATGCTTTTCATGAAAGGTTGTGGGGAGGAGAGCCATCACCATGGTGGGGCTGGCCAAAGTCCCACTAAGGGAGTTCTGATTTCTTAAAACTGAATCATGATCTTTACAGATCAAATGAAGTTGGTGATTAGTTCAGAGTCAATTTAAAAAGTTTACACGGGCATGGTGACACAGCCCTGCTAGCCTAGCCCGCTACAAGCCTGGGTTGTAAAGAACCAGTGCTTTCTCTTTTGACCTCATTCTGGGGCAACGCCAAGGTCCTGCTTGTTTATCACTAATGAATTTTTAGCAACTCACCTGGAGATGTTTGGCCTCGGGGCACACATACATCACTTGGGGGAAGTTTCACTTCGCATTTTGGGGCCTTAATAGATAGCATATATGACGATTATTTCGCCTGGAGAAAAGACTTAATTATCCAGTGTTCTCCCTACTCATAACTCGCATACCCTTAGAAAACTTCTCCACTCAACTTCCTAACTCTGTGGTGCGGTGGAAGTTAAATAGCTCCAGCCCCCACCAAAGCAGGTAAGGTCTTGGTGCTATTCTTGTGCACCTTCTGGAAGGTTCCCAGCCAATGCTGCATCTACCTGCCAAACTCAGTGTTCCAGTCCCTTCCATGCTCCCATAGAGTTTGTCCTTGCCGTGCATGGCCAGGTCTGCTCATCTTTGCTTGTATTCCAGATCACTTTCTTCACCAGTTGCTACTAATTATAGTATGATTTTCTCACTGTAGTGTGAGCTTCTTGAGCACTGGGACGCTGTTTGGTTCACATCTGTTTCTTCAACACAGAGCACAGGGCCAAGCTTGTGGTACCCCATACATACGGATAAGTGAATGAATGAATGTGTGGCTTATCACTCTTGAGCACATTTTATTTTAAGCTCGGTATTTACATTAAAAATGTTTCTCTTTTTGAAGGAATTCAGAGCATCAGTTATTAAGGACAGAGACAGAGTGGGAAGGATGTTTGTGAGCTGAGGGCTTGCCCCTTGGCCCTGGGCTCATACTATGCTCTTTCTCAAGATTATCCCTGAAGATTATTTGTGGTAAGGGTACTTGGTTCCAAAAAAGGAAACAACAACAACAGCAGTGCCTGCCTTTCCTGCCTGCACCCAGGTCAAGAAACATAAAAAGTGACCCTCCCAGTTCCCTAGACAACGTTACAGAAAACTCAGTGGGATCGTCTGAGTACCTGGAGAGCCTGGCTGGTCAAGCCCAGCTTTGGCCAGGTGTTAGTTGCCTTGGCCTAAGGCATCTGTGTTGTATGAACACATTCATTTCCTTCTGTATTTTCTTGCTTGGGGTATGTTTTGTTCTGTTTCTTAGGAAAGCGTCTTTTGAAAGTTCTCACCCTTTCCTCACTCCATAAATAGGGAAAGGTCTGGCCACATAGACACCACCTTCTACGAGAGGCCTCTGGAGGCCAGGGCTCATGGTGCAGCCACAGCTCCCCAGAGAGGGTGATTAGAAGCATGATTCCTTTCCGTCCTCACATGCAGGGCAGAGGTGGGCTGCCCCCGGAAATCTAAAGCCTACCCCTCACCACTGCTGAGACCTAGCTGAACTGGCACCTCGTCTCCTCTTCATCTCTGTCATCCACGAACCCTTTCTGGCTAGCCCATGTCTGTGGCAAGGGTCAGAAACCTTCCTCCTCTACAGATTTCTTGGGAGGTGTCCAACTTGATGATGTCATGAAGATGTAAGCCAGGCCAGATCAGGGATGCTCAGCCTTTGCCATTTTCCAAACTCAGTTCTGCCTCTCTTTTGTTGTCATTAATGTCTGGTGAATCATCAGTGTCTATCCCACCTATCCCTGCTAATTGCCATCCTCGTCAGCAGCCGTTGCTGCTCCCTGTCTCAGAGCGGCTGTCAGAGAGAGCCTGTCCCCATCTGCTTCCTCTTCCCAGCTTTGCTAGTTACTGAGGTCCACGCTGAGTCTTTTGTTTCTCTTGGCCATGATGGGCCATCTAGATGTAAACACCATGACATGGGGTGGTCCTGGTGATAGACTTGTGCACATCAGACTCTGGATCTGGCTCTTACTAACCGGCGAGGAGATCTTGGGCAAATAGGCTCGGAGTCTCTGTTTCCCTATCTGTAAAATGAGATGATAACGCAAACCCTGCCCACCTCACTAGGTTGTTGTGAAGAGCAAGTGGCTGGTGTGTGGAAACAGCTCTGTGAGCTACAGACACTTCATAGACACACTTCCTATTTGTACTTCCCATTCCTCCCACTCACTAAATGAGGGTGCTCCCAAGATTCTGCTTTTTCAGCTTCTTTTCTTATTAGGACCAAGGGCTTGGCACCGTGCTTTCCTTGTTGTGATGGCCTCTCCCTCAGTGATTTTATCTACATCCATAATTTCAACAAAATGTAGCTCCATGGAGCCTGAGTCCCTGACCTCCAGTATCATGTATCAGATTCCCTGCTTGACATCTTGGTCTGGATTTTTCTCCCTGTGTCCCAAATGCAGAATGTCTAAAATAAAATTCAGTACCTTTCCATCCAGCAGACTGGCAGCTTTCTTTCATGACTCTTCCCAAGTACCCCAGGCTCCGCTGACAACGTGCTTTTCTGCCAGGGCATCATCACACATCTCTCTTCCTCACACCCTGTGCTCTCCCATCCTGGGTCAGGCCCTGGTTAGCCCACACAGAGTGGTTGCCAAAGGCTGCTGATTTCTCTCCCTGACCCACGACTCACCCCTTACAGCTTGACCTGTTTATATATTTTTTTTAAAAAGAATGCAGCTGGAAAACCCTCCAGCACCTCTTGAACAAAGTCCTGGTTTCTTAGGCACTAAAGCCTTTTCCAGAGTGAGTTCACTGAACCTGTCCAGCCTTCTCTTCCTGCCCCGTTCTGTGTCCTACAGTCCAGTTAAACCAGCATATATTCCTTACCTCTTCGGCTGCATCTTGTTTTGTCTTGCTTCCACGTTCTCTTTCTGGAATGTCTGTGGAAATCTCACTCTCCCTTGAGCACCAGCTCATGTGTTGTCTGTTCTGTGAAGCATCCATGATTGTTCCTGTCAGAACACGGGCTGAACATGAGGCAGAGCGGGTCGCGCTAACCGAACGGCACCAGCACATGTGGCTCAGGGTCAGGTGTTGTGGCTGTAACTTTTAAGCCGAGGCCAGTTTTGCCTCAGTTGGCTTTCCAGACTCCAAAAAGTGTACGTAGTTGTTCAAAAAATATTTATCTCATTAATAAATGCCCCCAAGTGGTACAAGAGTGCTACAAAAACCCAGAGAGTTGAAAGTTCATCACAAGCAAAGGTGGTTTGGAAAGGCTGTCCGGGAAGGTGGGATTGGATTTGCCTTACAGGATGAATAAGTCTTCGGTAGTAACTGAGAGATGGGACGTGGGCATCGTAAGCAGAGGGACGAGAAGACAAAATGTCAGGGCCAGGGGAGCACAGCATGTGCAGAGTTCAGAGCTGCTTCGTAGTATTGATGAAAACAGCTAGCATGTTCTGAGTGCTGTAGTTACTCTACTTGTACTATCTCATTCAGTCTTCACAGCAGTCATAAGAGGTGGTTACAGATGAGGAAACTGGCACAGAGGCATCTGACTTATTCAAAGAAATGTGTCTACTAAGTGAGGAGTTTGGACCCAACATCATGACGCCTGAGCCTAGGCTCCTGGCCACTGTGGTATATTACCCATCTGCAAGGTGCCTTAGACGGAGATCGGTCCAACTTCCTCCCTGTGCAGAGATCTCAGACTTTCCCATTCCTGGGAGAATCATAAACCTAGACTCTAGCAGGTGTACAATTAAGGGTTTTGTAAGAAAGAAGAATTCAGAAATGAGATAGGGACTGTATGATCTTTGAGTGTGCAGTTAGATTCTAGCTCATATTTAGTGGAATTGAAAGGTTTTGTGCAGGGAAGTGATGTAATGAAAGAGGAGGATGTGGAAGATTAATCTCATGGTGGATGTGCACTGACACTAGGGAGATCAATTAGAATAAAAAAAGAACTTTAAAGTAGACAATTATTACTGGAACAGGCTGCTGAATCAGTCTGGGGAAATGAACAGAATGGCTTTTAGAGGGTTCCAGGTCTTCTAGTAAGTTCTATTTCAGACATTCTCCCTGTATTCCTTGCAACATCCCACAAATGAGCTGGGGGGTGGGGGGTGTGTGTGGAAATTGGTGATTTAGTAAACATTGTGTGCCTACTGTATGCCAGGCATTGTGCTAGGTACCTAAAACAGTTGGAAAGACATGGTTAATGTTTTTTATTTATTGAGAGAGAGAGAGAGAGAGAGCGAGCGTGCAAGCACACATATATGCATGTGCAGAGGGAGAGGGGGAGAGAATCCCAAGTAGGCTCCACGCTCAGTGCAGAGCCCGAGTCAGGGCTTGATCCCACAACCGTGAGATCATGTCCTGAGCTGAAATCAAGAGCTGGACACTCAACAGACTGAATCACCCAGGCGCCCCAGAAAGACTTGTTTAGATGCCTCTAGGGATGGTGCTGCCAGAGGCTTTCATCACCAGGAGGATTTGGTAGGAAGTCAAGAACTTGACGATTGTTCAACCATCAGTCCTGTGCTGAACCTTTGACCTGGGTCACCTGGTTCAGTTCTCTTAAGAGCCCTGTGATATTCCCATCGCCCATGTCTTCCACACAAGGAGCCTCAGTGAGGGTAAGTGACTTGCCCAAGGCCACATGATTTTAAGTGGACACAGTCTTCTGAATCAAGTTTCTTGTCCACTGAGACTATTGTCCTTTTTCTTGTCCTATGCTTCCTTCTTTGTTTTTTTAATTTTATTTTTTTAATTTACATCCAAGTTAGTTAGCATCTAGTGCAACAGTGATTTCAGGAGTAGATTCCTTAGTGCCCCTTACCCATTTAGCCCATCCCCCTCCCATCCTGTGTTTCCTTCTATATTGTTAAGCAAAATGAGCTTCCCGTGTTTCTTCTCTCTGCCTCTATAACTGCTGCTGGCTTTTTGAAGTCCCTTTCCCTTTTCGTCCATGCTGCCCTGCTTTGTGGAACAGCCTTCCTGTATCTGGCCACTCTATCTTCATTCTCCTAGAAGAACAGATTCAAAGTCCTTTCCGGGCACCTGATCCTGCCCTAGAAAAGATTACTGCTTCAGGGAAGGAGTTTTAGAGGACTCTGGGTTGTTCTTAGTATTTAGCCCTGTTGTCAGTAACACAGCTACTAAAATTCTCCTTTCCCAGTTAGAAGTGTTGGATATGGGGACCCCTGCAACCAAAAAATGTTCAAACTTTGGAGATGGTACAATCAGGCTGTAGGCGATGCTTACAAACAGGAGGAGAGAGGTGGGGAATCTGGGAGTCTGGAGGGAGGAGAGTCAGGCAGATGGATTGTACAAGAGCCACACTCTCTCCCTGGCCACGTACAAGCTGTGAGGTCCAAGAACATTGCACACAAAGCCTGGGTGGACAGACTGAGGACAGGCCATGAGGATGTTGTGGGGTGGCTGAGCAGTGACTGTAACTTAAGAGAGGAGTGAAACCTTAGTTGACAGGGGCAGGGAGGAGGCATAATGTTTTTTTGGATGGCAGCAGCCCCACTCTAGGACCTGCTTGAACTTGGTGGCAAAGCCACCTGTCTTCCTCAGCCCTCAGAACTTGGGTTTCACTCTGGGATAGCCACCCCGCAGGCAAGGAAAGGGAATGCCTGTACAGAGGGTGCCACCTGACCCAGGCCCCATGTCTTCCAGAGCTCTCAGCCCTCATTCCCAGCTGCATTAGCTTCCCATGCTCCCCCCGCTGCCCAGGGCTGCACATCAGTTTGTGAGGCTTTGTCCCCTTCATCTGTTTCTGGTGGGATAGACAGATAAGCTGTGCTTGGCAAGGTGGGGATGTTGTCTGCGGGGCAGAGGGCCAATAGGCCTGTTCTCCCTTTGCTCCTAGGTGCTGGCTGGGATGAATGTCTACCCCTCGGAATTTGAAAACGTCAAGGAAGAGTATAATGTGCGAGGCTACCCCACCATCTGCTATTTCGAGTAAGTCTCCTGCCTCCCTTCTGACGCTCGCTCCCCTCCATGGTGGCATTTGCATCCCTGGCTGAGCCGACATTGTCTGTCCACATTTCACAGGAAAGGACGGTTTCTGTTCCAGTATGACAACTATGGGTCCACAGCTGAGGACATTGTGGAATGGCTGAAAAAGTAAGTGGGGCGGTTGGCTCAGGGGTGTGTGCCTGGAGGGAGGGTACCCCTTCCCCAGGGTGGTCCCTGGTCACAGGGCTGTGGCTGGAGCTGGGGAAGAGAAGCAGGAAGGCAAAGGGCCCTTTGTGCTGCCACACTGTGGTTTCTGGGTTGCTTCTAGGTGAAGATGGGGTCTTTGTGGGGTTAGGATATGGGAGCCAGGAGGACTTGGTGTGACTGTGGCCATGGTGACAGCATTTTAAATAGCGTTTCCCCCTTACTGTCTATCTGCTGGCTAAGGGTATTTCTCGCCTTGGATGTCAGTTTTGAGAGAGGCCCCACTGCAGGTCTCTCTGAAAATTGAATTGTCAACTGAACACTTATTTCAAACATAATTCTGTGTTCAGTGCTGTGAAGCTGCTAGGAAATACTCTCATAGCTTAGATTTGCAGAGTGCTTTGCCATTCATGTGCACTCCCCACAGACGCTGCTTCTTGGTGACCTTGTGTGCCTATTTGTAATGTGATAGATCCTTACAACCCAAAGTATCCCTCACCTGGACCCCCATCGTACTAGGCGTGTGGCTTGGGCATGACCTTGACTGGTGTGTTGAATGGGGAGTCTGTCCCCCCCACCCCTTCCCGTCACGGGAGCAGGGGAGGGGGTCGCCTCTCCTGGCAGCCTCCTCGGGCCATCCCCAGCTGAGCACTTACCCTGCTTGCCCTGGCTCTACCTGTTATCAGTCTGGCACTTACCAGTCACTGCTGATGTATGGCTCTTTGTGCGTAATTCTTGGAATAATAACCAGCTAACATTTTTTGGGCTCTACTTTGTGACTGACCCTGTTCTAAAGACTTCCTGTGGATTCTCATGTAATCCTCAGAACAGCCTTGTAAGGACGACATTATTGTTAGCCTTATTTAACGAAAAAGGTAGCAGTGCAAAGCCATAAAGAGCTTGTCCAGGCTCCTGCAGGTGACAGGTAGCAGGGCCAGGCTTGCCCCTGGGCAACAGCAGCTCCCTTGAGTTTTGGCTGGAGCCCTCTACCCCTTCCCCAGTTGCCAGCATGGTGGGTCTTCATTGACATCATTCCCTGAGGAGCAAAAGGTTAAATAATTAGTTATCCGAAGATACGGAGGTTGAAAATGTGTATTTTCAGAATGGGAAAGGAGGACGAATTTTGTACCCTCCCCCACCAAAAAACAACAAACTGTCAGATTCTAACGGTTGAATCTCTGTCTTCTGTTGTCAGTCCCCAGGAGATAAAACACAGCGGAAGCACCATGTTTGCATAGCATCTTTTGTTTCTTGGAAGCATTTCCACATGTCTGTCCCCATCTATCACTCATTTCCAGCCCCTGCCCGGGAAGGTGACTCCCCATTCTTGTGTATTCATTGTCTTAACCTGGGCCTTCACTCCCCTGGTTTCTTTTCTCATTTGATAATAAGCATGTCCTCTCTTCCAGCCAGACACATCTCACTCTGCTTTGGGAGGTTTCAACAAATAGCCATCTCTTTTGTCACCAGAGCATAAAATCTGTCTGCTTCCCTCCCCCTTCTCTAACCTTTTCTGGTTTCAAAATATACTCCTATCTTTTTGGAAGGATAAGGTTTAGTTTTCTTTTAAATAGTGTTCAGACTTGCTTGCTAACCCTGCACAAGGGGAGCACGTCAGTGGAATTTCTGAGACAGGTGATTAGCTCCCCACTGGAGCCTGGCAGTTTGTTCCCCACCCCACCCCCCTCTGTCCACCGCCATCCCACCTCCTCCATCACACTGTGCTCTGGACAGAGACCTGGAGGCAGTCCTGGGCTGGTGCCTCCCCACTTCCCACCTCCTCCTTCCTCCCTCTCCTCACCCCATATGGGAACTTGAGAAGGAAACCTTGTTAGCAGTCCCTGGTCCAGCCCTGGTCTCCAGGCTCTTTGAGAAGGTTAGTAGGGTGACTCCAGGGAGGGGGTGTGCAGCATCGGGGTCTCCCTGAGCAGCCCTGCCCAGCTGTCCAACCCCCCATGATCACTGTGTCAGGGGCACTCATGGGGGCAGCTCCTCCGAAGGCATGGCTGTAGCCCACCCCACCCCAGCATAGCAAGGGTAGGTCCTAAAGGACCCCGCAGTGAGCTGCCTCCTCTCACACCCCAGCACAAGCTAGCGATATCACTGTTTTTTAATTTTTTAAAATGTTTCCTGATTTTAGGACTCTCCAAGTGAGACACGTTATTATAGAAAAACTTAAAAATATATTTAAACAAAAGGAAAGGAAGGCCCTTCCATCACCCCACTGTAAGATTATGTGTTGTGATGTTTTTGTGAATTTCCTTCCAGATTTCCCCCTACAGGTACCCAGGTCTGTGTGTGATTTTTCCCTGTGCCAGATGTTATTTTTCTTAAATTTTTTTAATGTTTTATTTATTTTTGAGAGAGAGACAGAGAGACAGAGTGTGAGTGGGAGAAGGGCAGAGAGAGAGGGAGACACAGAATCCGAAGCAGGCTCCAGGCTCTGAGCTGTCAGCATGGAGCCTGACATGGGACTTGAAGTCACAGACTACAAGATCATGACCTGGGCTGAAGTCGGACACTTAACTGACTGAGCCACCCAGGTGTGCCCCCCTCCCCCTGCCGTGCCAGGTGTTTCATGTCTTTACCGGTTTTGTCCTACGTCTTGGTGGATAGCAGTGTTCTCATATTTCCTGCTTCCTTGCACCTCTTCCCTGGGCCTCCCTGTTGGTTGCTCAGGGCTTATGTGTGGCCAAGTGTAGAAGAATGAGAATGGATCTGGCCTTGTTAATTCTCTGGATGACTTTCAGAAGACCAGGAGAGAGGAATCCAGATCTCCTTCCCACCGTCCCCAACGAGTGGCTAGCCACTGGGCACTGAGTGAGGCCAGGTGAAGACCTTGGGGTCTGAGTGTGCAAGGGCCCCAGCGTGGGTGTGTTTATCATGGCAGGTGGGGCCCCTTTGGGCCCCCACTGGCTATGTTTCTCATTCTCCTCTCTGTAGGTTTCATGCTGCTGAGTGGGTTGGCACATAGAGGGTATATACATGGCAGTCCATTTTGACTTAGCCACCTGTTTCTGCCTGTGTATTTTTATCCCAACCAGCAGTGAACTGAAAGTAATCACAAAGTTTTCTTGACTTCTGATGCTTATTGCATCTTCTCACCTGTGGCATGGGCACCTACCTCAGATAAGGATCTGATTTGTGTGAATTTCCCAGTCTGGAGAGCCCAGGAAATCAGAGTCGCAGGATGGGAAGGGAATAGAAACATCAGTGAATCTGCCCCTAGAGTTTCCCTTGTAATGTTTGTATTACCTCTAGAACAGATATGGTTACCTACCTCAGTCCCACTCGAACACCTCAGAGAACAGGGCCTTGCCTCATGTTGAGGTCGCCCACTCATGTTTGAATGATTTCTATGATTTCATTTATGAAGGATATGTAGGAACATTTGGGTAGTACTTTATAAATTTATAAAATATCTTACTCTGGAACATTATCTGTCTAGATGTACCTGAGAGGCAAGGAAAGGCCTCCAAATATTTCATCTTGTAGGTGTCTGAGGTCAGGTTGGTGGCTTAAGCCGCAGAGCTGGTAAATGGAGGAAATAGGACTCAAATGCAGCTCTTCTGGCTCCCAGCATGGCTCTCTTTCCCTCCCATCTCTTGTAGGTAGAAGGTTCTTCTGTTGACTGAAGGTTCTTTCTCTGGATCTTCTGCTTGTTGGTTCTCCCCTTTGGAGCCATAGAAAATAAATGTTACTTTCTCCTTCTGATGCAGTGTGAAATATTTGAAGATAACTATTGTGTTCCCCACGTCCTCTCCATATTAAACACACAGTTCCTTCAACCATTCTTCTCTAATTCCATCATTTATTCAAAACGCATCTCCTGGGTGTGTGCATCATTAGGTGTGGGAGGTACAGTGGTAAGTGGGAGCCCCAGTCTTCAAGGAGAGAGATGTAAAAGGCATAATTGAGCCATTGTGTTTGGCCTCAGACTTCTGCTCAATCCTTCTCTGTCTAGTGAGTACTCTTGCCACTGTGCCCAGCTCTGGCAATCCTCTCCAGACAGTCAGCTGTTGTCTACTGGGTGGGAGAGGGGTGTTCACCTGGCTGCTAGTCTGAGGGCCAGGATCTGAGGGCCTGGCTTTCAGGCTTTCCATGTGCCCTTGTTTCTAGCCCCAGCCACAGCCCTGCTTCAAGGGGTGGTGCATAGCACCTTTGCTATGGGTGTGGTTGTCCCCCGCCCCCTGACCGCACCCAGCACCTCAGGTCTCTGCCTTCTGTTTTGCTAGGTCCGTTTCCTAGCTTCTAAAATTGCACTGACCTCTTTTTCTATCTTCGCCGTTGTATTCTTTCCTGTTCTTTTTGCTTCTGTGGGTTCTTACTTTCTTCTTTTTAAGTCTTGTACTATTACTGTGGTGGTTTTAGAGTGTGTTCTCTGTGCTTAACTAGAAGTTTCTCAGGCACTTTCATACATTTGTACAGCAGCTAAGCCATGGCTTCTCCATTCTGTACTGTCACAAGATGTTTAAAAGTTATTTTCATTTTTGAATAGATTCCATTCACGTAATAAAAATGATTCTTTAAAAAGATACTTAAAAATCCTACATTGACAGGTCTTGCTTCCGTGTGTTTCCTTCATCCTGTTCCCCACCCCCCAACCCCCTAGAGGCAACGACTTTGATTAGTTTCTTTATGCAGATACAAGCAAATGCGGATTACTAATTTTTTTTATCTCTCCCTATTTTATGCAAAAATTAGTATGTTATGGCCTGTTCGGTATGTCCCCGTGGTCTATCCATGTCCATGCATAGAGAGCTTTTTGTTATTCATCATGCTGAACCCCCATAGTGTGGACGGACTGCAGTTTATGTAACCATTTCCTACCAACTAACACAGGTTGTTTCTAGTCTTTGCCATGACAGATCATCCTACAACAAATACCTCAAACATACATAGTTTTGCATGTGTGCAGGTGTACTGGAAAGATAAATTCCCTAAAGTGGAATTAGTGGTATTTTGAGTCCAAGTATGGGAGCCTAGGTCTCCTGGTGTCGGTCTAGGACCATCATCTGGCTAGTGACTCATTCTAAAGCTTGATTTTGCCACCAGCCACATCTGACACTGGCCGTGCATGGGCTGGAAGTGGTTTGCCCTCTTACTGCTATTTCCCATTGCTTGGGTTCAGGGTGGCTGAGGCCAGAAGGGAGGGCTTCTGAAGGTGACATCAAACCCAGGCCCTCTGTGGGTTGGGAGTGGCAGGTTCCGCTCTGCTAGTCACATGGCGGGGTCGGCAGATCCCATTGTGTCAGCCACATTTTCTCTCATTATCTCTAGTTCTGGCTGCTGGAACCGTACACCTTTTCTCTACTGTGGGCCCTCAAAGGCAGGAAACGATGGTTGTCTTTTCACATTTGTCATCCTAAAGGGTTTTTTCAAGTGGCAATTAAGGTGCTCTGGCAAAGGTGCGTGTGGCAGCAAAGCAGCCGGAGCTCTGTGTCACCAGCAGTCTTGTCCTCAACTCTGGAGCAACAGAGGGCTCCTGCAGCCTCTCCCCAGAACATCTGGTCATGCAGATACCAGCGTGTGGTCATCCCAGGTGGAAGCAGGCTCCTGGGAGGTTAGACAGCTTCCCCAGGTTTTCAGCTAGCAGGTGGGGAGGAGGGATCTGGACTGACCTCCAAGCCTGACTTCCTGCTCCAGCTCTCTGCCTCTGAGAGAACTAGATAACTTCCTTCCAGTTATCCAGTTGTCTCTAGGAAGGATTAGTGATATAGTGTAGATGCTGTCAAGGTTAGGGTGTCTCTGATCTTGTTCCCCTTGGCCTCACTCTTCCTCATCACAACCTTCCTCCCATGCTGGTCAGTGAACACCTCGCACCACCCATGTGGCAGCCTCCCTTTCCCAGCCCCTTCCCCAGCCCAAATTTGGTCTTTCTCGTACACTTGGCCTCTCTCTTTCCTCCATACCACTGCACATACCCTGCCCCCCCATTCTTTCCTCTCCCCACTCTCTGCCCTTCCTGTGGGGAGCTACCAAGCACAACAGAGAGCTTTTCCAAAGGTCACTTTTTTGTTGCTATTTATTCTTGCCAGTTTGCTGAAAGTTTGAAAGAGCTTGAGATGCTATCAAACCCCCAGATTCTTGGGAGGAAGTGGGGTTTCTTGAATTGCCTAGGGAGCTCTAGCTGAAAGCCACTATTTATAAGAAGACATCAGCTCTACACTTCTGGGGCTCTGAGGGGAAGGCAGGGTGGGCAGGGCCAGATCGCTCACCCCTGGCTTCTCCACTGAGGGGTTTCTGGTGAGCCCTTGCAGCAGGCCATATGAGCCAGTGGGAGCTTTCACCAGGGGGCTGGATTTCGTAAGGGCTGCTCAGGCCCCGGGCTTGCTCTGAGCTCTGCCTGTTTTTGGTCTTCCAGTCCACAGCCGCCACAGCCCCAGGTCCCCGAGACTCCCTGGGCAGATGAGGGCGGCTCCGTTTATCACCTGACCGACGAAGACTTTGACCAGTTTGTGAAGGAACACTCCTCTGTTCTCGTCATGTTCCACGCCCCATGTGAGTGGAACCTTGCTCCTGCCACAGCCTTTCCTCTCTCAGCGTAGGACAGGCACTGCTCTGGGACACGAGTCCAGTGAGCACTGGCCTGTTGGATGCCTCCTCTATGCCAGGATGCACTGGTGCCAGGCAAGGTTCCCCGCCCCCACGGCACACACAGCCCACCCTGCATCACCATTGGAACAGTACCCATGTCCTCATCAGGCCCCGGTGTTCCTCACCTCAACCTAGTGGGCCTGAGCACGTTCCCCTAAGTCAGCATAAGTCGGGAAATGCAAATAAATTTCCCAGAATTGGAGGAATTAGGACTGGAGGGGTCCTGAGATACTACCTAGAACAGTAATCACCTCTAATCTAGGTGGGGGAAATTGAGGCCCCAACAGAGCCCGTATCTTGCCCAGCAGCTGAGACGGCCCAGCAAGGCCAGGTCTGGAGCCTCAGATCCCCCAGCATGTAAAATGCCTTCCTTCTGCTTCACCTGAAAGTTTCATGCCCTAAAGTGGCCACAGTGGATCAAGGAAGGGAAATGTGTGAGTGCTGTAAAAGGTGTCTGCAATAATGACTGGGAGGCCTCAGGAGTTTTCTAGGCGAGTGTCCTCCCCATCCTCTTGGAGAATGGAGAAATTGATTATAATTTGTTTCCAAGAGGGAGAAGGTTGCACCTGGAGGGGTGAGCAAGGGGATGACAGCCCTGGGACACAGAGTTCCTAGGAAAGTCAGGCCCACTGCCATGGGTGCCCAGGGTCCTCAGCACCCTGGGACAGATGGGAGGCGGGGCATGCTCTTCTCTTAGAGCTTCTTGCCAGCTCTTTGGTCCAGTGATGGCAGGAAAGAGATTGTGAAGAAAAACAAGCAAGAAATAACTACTTTGGGTTTATTTTATTTTAGTTTTTAAAGTTCATTTGTTTATTTTGAGAGAGACAGCACGAGCAGGGGAGGGGCAGAGAGAGAGGGAGACAGAGAATCCCAAGCAGGCTCCGTACTATCAGCATGGAGCCTGACATGGGGCTCGAACCCACGAAACCATGAGATCACGACGTGAGCCAAAACCAAGGGTTGGATGCTTCACCGACTGAGCCACCCAGACACCCCTATAAATAACTACTTTGTAGATCAGTGCCATAAACCGTCCTGTCCATAGAGGCATATTCAGTGAGGAGAATGCAGTATTAATCGTCGCATGGGTAGGGATCTTTATGCTAACAGCTGTGTATCACCCTGTGGTGATAAAGTGGCTCCCCCTAGGGTCACCTTTCACCTTACCCACAGCGCCAAAAGGCAAGTATGATTAGCCCCATTTTACAGACAAGGAGACTGTCTCACAGAGAAATGGCACAAATTGTACATTGCTCTATAAGTCCTATACTGCTGAGCCCTGGTCTCCCTACCCTCCCCTTTCTCTGCTGTATCGCAGAGTTTGGTTTGGTTAGTTGGGAGCTGTTCACAAGCAGATCACCATTGGGGATTTCCTCAGCTCCTTTCTTTCTAATAAGTGCCAGATTTTTAAGAGAATCCAAAGGAAAGTATTCCTATACCCTTTTTTCTGAATTTCTAGAAAACTGGCAAAACACGCAAACAACTAAGTTTCAAAGAGCTTCCTGCTTAAGGGTGATGATGGGGCCTTGGGAGCACTTCACCCCCAGCCCTGCCAGGGCCTTAGTGAGCGTGTCCCTGTGGTTGGCAGGAACCGAAAAGCTGCCTGCCAGTGAGCCCTGCAGCGTCTTCCTGGCTGAGATGTGCTCTCCCCACCCATGTCAGAGCTGCTGATGGAAGCCAGTCGGGCAGCAAGTTACATTGCGTCTAGAATTGGGATCACCCCGCCTGCATCCCTGTCCCAGCAGTACTGGCTGACTGTGATCAGTTCCTCCCTGGGAATGTCACCCCTGCGTGTCGGTCCTTGCAGCCTGCATCAAGAGAGCCTACCCAGTTCCTGACACAGTACAGAATGGTGTGAGCAGTGATTTGTGGTTTATGCATCTCAGCGTGAAGAGTATGGACCCCTTTGATGAATCCTGTATATTATTCCAAAACAATATGTACCAGATACATTGGAATTGTTTTGTTTTGTTTTGTTTTGTTTTTTTGAGAAGGGGAGGTACAAGTGAGTGAGGGGCAGAGAGAGGGGGAGAGAGAAAGAAGCGGGGCTCACCTGAAGCAGGGCTCGAGCTCACGAACCACGAGATCATGACCTGAGCCGAAGTCAAGTGCTTAACCCACTGAGCCTCACAGGCGCCCCATATTGGAATTGTTTAATAATTGTTTATTAAGCCCTTTCTTTTTCAGAACCTGGGTTGCACACTGGGTAATTTTTGTCTGTGTTCTTTCTTGTAGTCTTTGGTTGTGAGCAGTCTACTGTAGTAGCTGATGCTTACAGGGTCTGGGGCCTGGAAACTGTCTGTCCCTTACCCTCTTCCCTCCCTGAACCAGAAGGATCTTGTTCATTACTTCACCCCTCCCCCACCCAAGGTCATCTGTGGGCATGGAATAAGGGCTTAAAGAATGAGAAAACAGGGGCGCCTGGGTGGCGCAGTCGGTTAAGCGTCCGACTTCAGCCAGGTCACGATCTCGCGGTCCGTGAGTTCGAGCCCCGCGTCGGGCTCTGGGCTGATGGCTCAGAGCCTGGAGCCTGTTTCCGATTCTGTGTCTCCCTCTCTCTCTGCCCCTCCCCCGTTCATGCTCTGTCTCTCTCTGTCCCAAAAATAAACGTTGAAAAAAAAATTTTTTTAAAAAAAGAATGAGAAAACAAACTAATAAAGTTGTTTAGAGCTAAATTAGAGAAAGAGAGCCAGAAACCAGATGGCTCTTGTTTTCCCCATTAGTCATTGTTATTAATAAATATTTTGAAAGCCACCCCGCTCTGTGTAGAGCCCTGTTGAGGGGGCTATGATTTCAAACTTAGCAAATGGGAGACGTCTGCGGCTTCTGCTGGTGGGTGTCTGCCTGTGAGGGCCCCTGCGTTCCCAGATGAAGTACCTGCTAGCCCCCTGGCTGTGCACGTGTGTGCGTGTGTGGGTTTACTTCTGCTGGACCAGCAGTGATAGGGATCAGGGCAATAGCATGAGGGGAAACTTCCTGATGAGCTGCCTGTTACTGTTCCTGTCAGAGGGGAATGGCTTCCCATTGGATAATCTCTCTGCACAGTACTTCCGTATCCAGGAGTATGGTCTGTCATCTGAGAAGGGAGGGAATGCACGCAGTTTTGAGAGAATTCGGAACCCAAGAGGGGAGAGCCGCAAGCACCGAAATTTTGGCTGCCTAGCTGTGAGTCTTATGCTGGAGTGCTCCCCATAACCTGCAGTGCTTGGGAAACCACTTTTGTGGCATTTGACCTGGGGAAAAGGATAAACGGTAGGAGGCCAGAGACTGGCAGTGCTGTCCTAGTTTTCCTAAGTGCATAAAAGGTGAATGCTGGAAATCAGTAGTATTACAGGCTTCCATCCCAGAGCAAACAGGAAGTGGTTTAGAAGCAGACCGTTTGGAGGCTTAGAAGAACAAGTTGGGATCTTTCAACACAGGAGACCATAGTTTCTACTAAGGATTGCTGGACGTGCTTGATTTGTTTCTTAGGACATGATTACTGAGTTCGTGAATTAACACGTCTTTCTTTTATCAAAAGCAAATCTCTGTTTTCCTGACTGTATGGATAAGAGGGGCGGGATGGGGCCGCCCTGACAGGAGCACCTCCTTGGTGCTGAATGAATGTGAGTCAGGCCTGGCTCTGTCTAGAGGGTGGTACTTGTTTTTTATTCAACAGTTTTGTTAACACTCTAAAAAACAAGGCATACTTCTAAATCTGCAAGGGTTAGAGCTGGAAAAAGGATAGCTAGCTAAAATATTGAACAATTGCATTTAAGATTTTTAAAGATGCCAATAGTCTGAAATAGGGCTCAAACTAAAAAGCTGAATTTGTTTTTCTGACTTTCTGGTAATTAAAAAGGGATGCATGTACATTTTATAAAGGGATAACGTAGGAAAATATAGAGAAGAAAATTAACATTCCTGACACTGACTCCCAGAAAGAGTCATGGTCCCTCTTTGCAGTGTTATTTCTATGCACAGAGTATGTGCTTGCTCAATGTCAGATGCTTCCCGGTTCCACTCTGAAAGGCCAGGAAGAGAAAGGATCTTCAGCTTTCCACCTTACTGATGCCTGCCCCAGGTGGGTGCTCCCTGGCATCTGTACGTTCCAGAAGCAAATCACTTGGTTCTGTGCTTGAACTTTCACAGGGTACCTATGGAGCTGACCCCCTGGATTCTTGGCAGGAAAAGCCCCTGTTGTTGCCTATTATCAAACCTCCAGTGGCCTCCTGCTTCTTTACCGTCTTTTCCAGCTTTCTTGCCACTTACTTTCCACCTCAGCCTCTCCTCTTGCCTTATTACCTTCTTTCCCTCACCCTTGCCTTCTAGCTGGAGTGGGTTAGAAACCTCATACAGATCCTTCTGCAGCCTCTACATCTGATGCCTGAGTCATCACTGAGCAAATAAGCACAGGCGCTCAGCACAGTGCAGGGCCCTCCACGTACGTTAGTTCCAGTCCTGGCCCAGATCACACCGAGGGAACGACAGGGGCTGAGATTTACAAGCAGGTTTGCTCTGTGGACCTCGCCTTCCGGAATTGGGATGAGCCTCCTGGGGAGGACAGTCTGAGTGTGAGCAGTGGGCTCTGAGAGGAGGGTGTGTGCTGTGCAGTGTAGGGATAGAGTGGGGGCCTCACTCGTAGCCCTGGGGCAACCCTCCATGGCTCAGCGCTTCCCCCTTTGCATCCATCTGGCCTTCAGTGTGGGGCCTGGCATGGACGAGGGAGGCTGCAGCACCAGGCCCAGCTCTCTGACCCCACAGAGAACAGTGTCCAAAAAGGGTGTGGTGGCCGAACACAGACTACTGCCGCTCCTGGAGCCTTTTGTTTCTTTCTGCAACTTCCTGAAGGAGAAAAGTCAGAATGCATTGTCCTCATCTTCTTGTCACTGTGTGTTTGGCTGCAGGAACACCCACCTGCTCCC